TACCAAGAACCATTATAATGTTTGAAATAGAGACACTTTTTCCTAACACATGAGATCTACCTTCCCCATTGATACTTCTACCCGATCATGGCCCTATACATGGATAGCTCATGATAACCTGTACCCGATTATGATCCTATACAAGATTGGCTTATGACATTTAGCTAGGTCTAGGAGAGATCAGCATTAGTGAAAAATTTTGGGACCATGAATAATGGATGATAAAGGAGGTTAAGTTCAATCATGTATGCATTCCAAATCTGTACATCATTGAAAAGCAAAACAACAGGCAAAATTTTGTTGAGGGAAAAAAGCCAGATTAACTAATTTACATCACATTAACACAAAATAGGTTCTCCAATATGCTTTAAACTAGACAACCATCTTCTCGGCTTCATAGGTGAACATGAGTTAATTTCATGTTAGTCCATGCTAGTCCATTATTAAGGGATTTGGTTTAGAGATGGTAACAGATTGAGAAGGGATAAAATTTTGCTTACCTTTAATCCGATTTAATTTTATATAATAAATCTTAATTAAATATTAAAATATTATTTTTTATATTCGATTTGATTCATATAAATATAATATAATCGATTTGATTCAAAATTAATAAAATATTAATTTTAAATAAATATTATTTTTAAATAAATATTATATTTTAAATATAAATATAAAATTTTAAAAATAATAATAAAATATTTTTATATATCAAATTAGAATGAGACAAGATTATTTAAAACTTTATCTCAATTTTTAAAAAAATTAAGAATAGACTTGTAATTAAAATATTTTTTAAAAAAAATTAATTTTATAAAATCAAATCAAATCCCATAAATTCAAATTGAGTTATTAATCCTCATTTGATTCTAATTTTTTGTTTTAAAAGACAAAAACTTACCTATTTTATGGAACCATTTTGTTTGGTTTGGCTTGATTGTTGGCCTAAAAGGATAAAGTTGCCTACGGTTTTAACAATTAAAATCTTTAGCCACCCAGTTTTGACCAAGGAACTCAAACTTGACCAAAGAATGATAACATCACCCAAAGGTTGGCCTAGTTAAGCTCAAAGTGAACAATCAATACCAAAAGAAGTTCCACATGGCAGGTCAACTCACACTGCGTGTATGAGGCAGAAATATTCGGTAGGTGGTTTTATCATATTGTTTCATAAAAAGCATAAAACTTTATACAATTTCCAATGATTCTCCCATAAACTTTTTCTTTATGCTTTAGTATTTAATATTTTATTTAATTTTATTTTTATATAATTATTTTCACTTTTCTTTCTAGGAGGATGCTTCCTTTTTCATTATACAAAGGCAATGATGAAGGAGACAAGAAAGCATTATTGCTTCCTTACAAATTTGAAAATTCCAACCTTCTTTAATGCTTTTTCAGATTTGTTCCCTTTTTTTTTGTTATTTCATTTTTTCCCTATTATTCAGTGGAAAGTTATTGGGAATTACATGGGCCCACATCCAATATTAATCAAGGTCAATCAATTTTATTCTTTTTCAAAAAGAAAATTATATACTTTTACAAAATATTTTATTGGTTTGAATTAGATCCAATAATTATGTCAACATATTGTAAAAATATTATATTTTTATATAAAAATTATATATTATAATTTATATTAATATAAAATATAAAATATAAAATTTAATTTTATTAAATTTATTTATAATTTTTTAAAATTTTTAATTATAATTTTTTATATTTTTTATTTATATTATTTTTACATCGTATCATCATATTATATTTTAAATTATCAAACTTAATTTAAACATCTTTTTATGATAAGTCAACTTACCCCTTTCTCTTTAAGAATATTTCAATTTTTAAAACATCTCAATAGATTTCCTCAAAATTTAAAAAACTTCATTAGTATATTATAAAAAATATATTTTTTAAATTAAATTTAATTAATTTATATATTTATTTTTAAAAAATAAATTTTAATAAATATAAATTTTTAATTTTAATAATTATAATTTTTTTTCTTATTACAAAACTATAAATAAAAGTATTTAATACCTTTAACTTAAAAATTATTCCAAATTTTCCCATAGTCACCTTCCGTATGACACCATACTATTTCATCAAGTATTATGAAACTTTCAACTATTGTTTTGAGATTAAAAAAAAAGGTAATAGTAAACATAATGCATAAAAAATGACTAATGAATTTCTAAAGGCCTTAATGAATTTTTATTAAATGTAATTAAAAATCACTATTGACTTGGAAATGGTTAGCCTTTTGGTGGGAATAATCAATAGTTGTTTCTTGTCTCTTCCAAGCACTTAAACCTAAGTTAATATTAATTTAAAAATTAGTATCAAGATTAAAGATTTTCTTATTATTTAAGCAAAATGATAAAAAACTTTTTTGAAAAAAATTAATAATTATTTAAATTTTTAATATTTTATTACAATAAATTAACTTTAAATTTTTTATTTTGGATCCGTTAAGTCTTTAAATATATTTTTTATTCAATTAAATCATTAAATATTTATTTTCATCCTAATTGAGTTATTGACTATGAAAATTGATGTTGATAGCTATATAAATTTCATCTAATAAGGATTTATTTATAAAAATAAATATATATATATAAATACAGATATAGAGAATTTTTTTGAATGAGAATGAATATTATTATTTTTATTTTAAAATTATTATTTTAAATTAATTTTTATTTATTATAATTTGAACAACATAATAGTAGGGAACAAAGAATTGAAAAATAAGCAATTAAAAATGTAATTTTATAACCAAAACATGTGAAAAGCCTTAAATTAGTGATTTCTAACCATGGCATTTGGATAAATTAAATTTTAATTTAAGTCAATTCTATTATAAATTGGATCCTAAGCATATAATCTATATCACAATCATTCATCATTAATTATTTTTTTAAATTTTTTAGTAACATAATATTATTTTGTTTGACTTTTGATTGTTCAATTATTTATAAATAATAATTTTTAATTATTATAAACTTCTAATTTTTTTCTTTAAACCTATTAATGTCCATCTCCATTCTTGATTGAAGATTTTCATTTTCCTTTTTTTTCATAATAATAATTGATTTAAATATAGTATAATTTTTGGTGAAAATTTAACTATTCATATATCCAAAACGAAAAAAATTCTTATAATATTTTTTAAATTTCAAATTATGATTATTTTATAAAAAAAAAAAATCAATCCCACTTTTTTATAATAATGATAATTTATTTGAATAAAATAAAATTGATGCTTCCTTGTCATTGCTTGTATAACACAATGAAAATGACAAAAAAAAGTATAATTCAATGAGATAGCTCGGTCAAACAAAGAATGAATCAAATTCCAAATATGACTTAGAATGGTGAGATATCAAGTTATCAAACACTTCCCATTTCTTTGACAGCTTTAAAGGAATTCAAGTTTAATTTTAATTAATAATAAATTAAAATTAATTTTTTAAATTCAAAACCTTTTATAAATTTAAAATTTTATATATTTTATATATGTAAACAGATAATAAATTTAGATATAAATTCAAATATTTATTATTATTTATTAAAGTTTAAATGAACTCATATATTAAATATCCAAATGATATTATCCGTATTCACTTTAAATATGTTATGAATAATAAGTTTTTTATTTAAATTTATTAATTATCTATTTTTAATATTCAAATTCCATATAAATTGAAGAAATGACGAATATTCATTTATTTAATATCCATTATCATCTCTAATTGTCCACATATTTATTTTGTGTGAAATTTGTTAATTTTCTACTATAAACAACAATAAAATTATAAATAATAATAATGAATTTCATTAACAATTATTTTAAAAATTAACCAATAATAAATATGTATATATTTTTTCCGGGCTAAAAAGGTAAAATATATTTTACTAGGTATTTCATATGTGAATAAAAAATTTAAAATTCTTTTTTCATCCCTCCAAAAATAAACACAACATTACATGATTGTCAATAGGTTACACTAAGTTTGTTCTAGGTGGAAGGCTAACATTTTAGAAGACTAGCCATCTTTTGATAACTAAAAAGGAATTAAATTTACCCTTCTTTAGACAAGACTTTCTTCATGGCAAGATTCTGAACCTTTATATTTGGTAAATTTTTAGTGAAATTTTTAATTTTATAAATATAATTAAAAATTTTATAAAAAAATTATAATTAAAATTATCAATAATTATATCATATTTAAAAGTATCATATTTATTAATTATTATATTATATTTAAAATTATTACATTTAAAAAATTCTGTTAAATATAAAAATTATCAAATTTATTTAAAAAATGTATGCTTAACTAATCTTATCTATAAGATCTAAAAATTTTTTCAATGGTAGTTGAAATAATTGGTTAACCTAAATTATAAAAAAAAAAAAAAGGGGGGAAAGAATTTGATTTATGGGCACATGGTAAAGCAAACCAAACCACTGTTGACCACAAAAACAGCAGGCACGTCATTATCCAATGTGGTCCCCTCACCTAAAATGGTAATGATTAAAATAATAATCCTACAAACCGACAACTAACCATTCCGACACCAAACTTCATCTCCGTATCCACTTATCCCCTAAATTATCAAAACTTCACCAACTGCAACCAAACAGAATTCAATCACTTTTAACGGTTTCCGTTCTGACAAAACTCTTGTTGGTTGGGGTCCACTTTTCATGGACCCGGTCACTCCATACCCGAGCTGCCCGGCAGTGTGGGACCCACTTGGCGCGTAGTGACGAAGACCAAAGTTATATTTCATCAATTATGCGCCTTAAAATATAAAAAATATATATATTTATAAAATTTATTTATAATTTTTAATATTTTTTTTTTCATATTTTTTATTCGAATCTGATGAAAGAAGCTCACCCCGAACCCGTCCCCCGACCCGTAATCACACGCAATGGTCCCACCTTCTATTTCCTCGCCATTTCTTTCCATTCCCCTATATATTTCCTTCCCTCATCGCTATCCTCTCAATAGATTAGATCACACCAGAGCTAAAAAAAAAAAAGGAGGGGAATCAAGCAGCCTTCCTTGCCTCCTTCGTTTCTCCCTTATGAGAAAGAAGAAATTGTAAAATTCCCTAGTCCCTTTCTTTTTTTTCTGTAAATTTATTGATCTAAATCTCAGTTTCTTTTGATTTTTTTGGGGGTGTTTTTGGAGTAAATTAATATGGGGACTGAAGTTTTACGGCCTCAGAATTGTTTGATCGAACGGATCCGGGTTGATCCGACGGCTTGTTCTCGCCGGAGATACGGAAATGGTAGCTTTAACACTAGTTATTATAATAATAACAATAACAACAACGGAAATGGTAGATTTAACAGGAAACCCGTTCATAGGAGGCGGGTCGGGTCGGATCAGGCGATTGCGAAGAGATCTGGCTCCGTTGATGACTTGAAGATGGTGAGGAACAATGTTACGATGGAGAAGGTTACGATTTTGAGACGAGGAGAGTCGTTGGATTCGAAGATCAAGAGCAACAGCGGTGGAAGAGAAGACGAGTTGGTTGTTACTGGTACGGATCGGTTGGGGCCGGATCCTGATCTAGTCTCGAAACAGATCAGAATTGTGGATATTAGGTCTCCAGTCCCCGGAAAATCTGACGTGTACGCCGGATCGGCTTTCGCTGTCTCTCCGGAGCCGAGTTCACTCCCTTTACCTTCTTTCTCGAAGAAGAAACAGGTTTCCATCGATGATACAGCTACCAGAGATCTCAGGCGTTTGCTCCGGCTCGATCTCTGAGATCCAAACCCTGATCCTATTTTCTCTCTCTTTCTCTCTTGATCATTTCGTCTCTATTTATATCTCTCTGAAATTTTCAAGATCCGATTTCAGCCGTGATATTTTTTCAACACGATGGACGGATTTGAAAATCGGAAAAAATATTAGGGGCGAGTGTTTAATATTTCATATTGTAGTCTCAGTTTATGGGTTAAAAAAAAGTATGGGGTGTCATTTCGTATGGGATGATGAAAAAGGGAAAAATAAGGGGTTGAAATGTAATATTTTGGGAATATTAGGGGTGGGCTGGGTTTCTAAATGTTGATATGTGAAAATGTTTTATGCTCTGTTGTGAAAAATTTGTGAGAGAGATTTGCAATCAGGTCCCCGTGTTGTAAGGATAAAATTAGGCATCTTGAAATCCCCTTTGTTAATAGATCATTAGATGTTTAATTCTATTTATTTCTGCCCTTTTTTTTTTTTTTTAGATTTTGATTCTTCTGTTTAGTTGGATGGAAATTTAAAAATAATTAATCTTTTAAGGAGAAAAAGAACTACTGATTTATGAAAATCCAGCAAAGGATTTATTCATAGATTCAACTTAAATATTTTCCTTGAAAGTTTTCAGAGGGATTTAGCAACAAATTGATTTTTCTTGGTTCTAATCTCTTTCTGTGTTTTAAAGTTTCATTTTCTATTTCCTTTTCTTTCCTTAAATTCAAAGAGAGGAAGGGAAAAGCACTCAAAAAATCGGTGCCTTGGAATCATATGATTGAAAGACTAAATTATTTGTTGGGTTAAATATAAAAATGTCTTTTTATTATATATTTTCTTTGTTAATTTAATACTAAAAATTAAAATTTTTATTTTAGTATTTAAAATTTTATTTTGTTAAGTATTTTTGTTTGTTTGTTTTTTATGAATGATATAAATATATTTTTATTTTTTATTAAATTTTTTAGTTTTAAAAAATTAAATTTTTTTATTTTTTATGACTATAATTAAATATTTATAATATATGAGATAATTTTATTGGATATTTACATCAAATTAATCGTTTACTTAATAATAATAATACAAGATATCAAAATATTTTATAAAATAAAAGTTGAAATATCAAAAATAATTTTTTTTTAGATATTAAGCTGATAAAAGTTAAATAATATAAAATAATTTTATTTATTAACCCTTTTATATTTCATGATGGAAAAATGATTATTTATATTCTAACATATCCAATTATTGTTACTCTAATGGTAAAAAAATTCGTGTGATTTATTGAAAGAGTATTCAAATTAAAAAACTAAAACACAGAAAGAGATTAGAACCAAGAAAAATCAATTTGTAAAAGAATTTATAGATACATAGATGACTTAATAGATAAGAATAACATTGACAAAATATTTTTTAAAATACTTTGAGTTTATTAGTTTTTGTCAATAAAATTAAAATATAAATAACAAAATTTAATTTTAAATCATAATATGATGATAAATTTGATCTTAATTTTATATTATTTCCATTTACAATTGATATTTAAGCTTCCAATCTTTTCTTGATATAAGAGAATCAAAACTTCTATTGGTGATGCTGATTAAAACTAGGATGGAGGATTGGGCTATGTAAAATTACCAATGGAGGAATTTGCTTTCTAAAGTTTGATGCAGTGTGTATTAATTACGATATATTATTTGATACACTAATAATAAAATTTTTTAATTTTATAAATAAAATTAAAATAAGGACATGTTTTTTTTTAATATATAAAAAACATGTGTTATTATTTTAATTTTATTTGTAAAATTAAAAAATTTCATTGATAATGTATTTGATAATTTCTTATTAATTACTGCAAGTAATTGGTTTTATAAGTTGGAAATTTCAGTCTTCAACTTGGGTGAGGCCATAAGTCATTTTCTTCAATTTCTTCCCGATTTCCCATAGAAAGGTCTCCATCCTTTTAGGTACAAGGAAAGGGATTTCTTTCCCTTGGATTCACAACATAAACTTTGATTTTTTGTTTCTTCTCTTTTGATGTACATGGATTGAATTTCTTAGCCAAATGTGTTTAAAACGGTGGTGTCCTCACAAGTAAGAAATTGAAAAGTCAATAGCGGCGGCGTGGTACGTTGATAAAATATTATATTTTTAATTTTAATAATTAAGATTTAAATTTTGATAATTTTAAATATAAAAAAATAAAAAAGGATAATATATTATATATGTTTGCTTATTGATTTGTAAAGAAGAGATGGCCTTTGATAAACATATGGAAGTCAAGAGAATATTCGCGTGAGGTGACACATAATCTACCATATTGATATTATGTCAAGTTTAACGAATCAATTTGAGGAAAATACCAAAATAAAACTATTTTAATAAAGTTAGGAAGCCTAATAAAATAATTCAAATATTAGGTATTAAAATAAAATCGAAATAAAAAAAAATTAGTGATTATTGGTGGAATTTATTTAACAATTAATTTAGCTACAATGAACATGATGGCTGCCCCTGTTTGAGATGCAGCATTTCCATATGGGCCTTTACTTCTGTCTCATTTGTTTAAGACAAATTCAAGCGGCATTGAAACTTGGGCCAATCCTCGAAGCCCCCCCTGTCTTGGATGTCAGAGACCACCTATCCTTAAAGCCATGAGTGGGCCATTTCAACAGGGCTATCGAGCCGAAGCCTATCCAAATCTCCCTTATTTCCTTTTTGGTACTATCCAATTTTTAGTTGAGTCCAATGCAAGGGATTTAAGGTATTCCTTCAATCAATTTTTTTAATTTCGAATCGACTATTTAAAATTAAATTAAATTAAATTAAATTAAATTATTTAATTTTTAAAATTAATCGATCAAAATTAATTTGATTGATTTGATTAATATTTTTGTCAATCAAATAATAAAATACATTAAATTAAATTAAATTTTTAATTTTTATATTTAAAATAAATGAAATAAAATTATCTAACAAAAATATTCAAATACCAAAATATTACATTTAAACCTTTAATAACTTAAAATGAAATGGATAATTTCATATATTTTTAGTAATATATATATATATAGGTTTTATTATATTTTGATTAAAATTTCAATTAATTTGATTTTTCAATCAAAATAACCCAAAATCGAAATTTATCTAAAATTATTTTCAATAACCAATCAAAATTAATTTGGTGGTTGACTAATTAATTGAATTAAATTAGTTTGATCAGTTAATTTTGTTAAAACTGAATTATGAACACTCTTACCAAAGATAAAGGATATTATTCGTTTTAAATTATTCCAAAAACATTAAATTCATACAAAAATTGAAAAATTAGGAGAATGTGCTTTTAAAATTCCAAAAAAAAAAAAACCCAGACAAAGGTAGAGGGTTTCCTTAATCGCCTTATAGAAAAATGAGATCCTTTGATTGTCTAACATAAATTAAATCTTCATAATTATATAATATAATCCTTCATAATTATATGGTATAATCTTGTATATATTTTGGATGCTATCAGCTTTCATTTGGATTTGGATTTGTTTATTTTATATTTAATACATAAAAAATATAAAAATATTATATTATAATTTACGTTGATATGTCAAACTAGAAGTATTTATGGATCGAGTCGGACCCAGATTATCATTATTTTATTTAAGGTCCAATTCAAAATTTATACAAATCTAAAAATTATATTCAAATTCATTTATTGAGTTTTAAATTTTTATTTAAATTTTTTAAAACTTAAGCAAACTTTTAAATTTGAACGAGCATCTTGATCAAACAGGTTTGCACTAAATACAAAATATATATTTTTTATTTTTATTAAATTTATATATAATTTTTATCAAATACTTGTATAAACAAATTACCGTATTTTATCTTATAATATCACTAGATAGTGTTTAAAATTATTATGTTACTTTCACTTACAAAAATTGGTTTTTATTTTAGTATAAGAATATTGAAGTTTATATCATGTTGGAGAGTTAGAGAAGGCATGAACTGAAGTTAAAAAAAAAAAAAGGTTCAAAGCTCAAACTCCAAACTTAAAGCAGAGACGTAGCCACGTCGGCAAAGCTTTCGAAGAGTAAAAGCAAAACCATTCTCTCTTATACACCAATTTTACGTAGAAGCAACACTCTCTAATTGTTTCGAAAATTTGTTCATTAAATTTCTTCTACAAATAATCCTCAAACTTTGCTACAAAATCATCACCCGAAAGCCTCATTTTCAAGCAAAATTATAACCCCAAAATGGCCAAATCCAAAACCTCTTCTTCATCATCTTCCATCTCAGGCAAAACTTTTACAGCTTTGGGAAACCTTATCAAGCTCCTACCAACAGGAACTGTCTTCATATTCCAGTTCCTTAACCCTGTTTTAACCAACAATGGCCATTGCAGCCCTGTCAACAAGTTCTTCACCAGCATCCTCATTGGCCTTTGTGGCTTCTCCTGTGCTTTCTCTTGCTTTACAGACAGCTACACAGGCAGTGATGGGATGGTTCATTATGGTATAGCCACGGTGAATGGCTTTTGGCCTTCTTCGGATAAGGGACCGAGTAATAAGTCAAGCTACAAGCTGAGGATTGGTGACTTTGTTCATGCATTTTTTTCGGTGATCGTCTTTGCTGTGTTGTCCCTGTTGGATTCTAACACCGTACGATGTTTTTATCCAGCTTTTGAGTCCACCGAGAACGCTTTGCTCATGGTTTTGCCTCCGGTAATCGGTGCAATTTCGGGTGCAGTTTTCATGACATTCCCTGACACCCGCCATGGCATAGGCTACCGTTCAAGTGATTCCTCAAACTCTAATTCCGACGACTCCCCGAACAAATAAATTAATTGGTTAAGGTTTTCTTTGAATGAAGTGTTTGTTTGGTTTCATTCCACTTCCAAAGTTTAGTGCACGTCAAATTAACAGTTTCCTATCGCATTCGAATCATCATCCAAACGGAACCGTACTATTAGAAAAAAAAAAAAGAAGGGATGTCAATTGCATGCCGTCACCCTTGAATTATTGTTGTATGTTCTTTAGGTTTGCTGTTATGATTTTGTATCAATTTGTGAGATAAAATTAATTATATTTTTCCTTAATTTATATTATAACCATTATCAAATGCAAATTAAGCTATATAACTGCATTCCTTAGTGTTTTTTTATTCAATTTTAGTCCTCTGAAATGGATAAGAAAAATAATTTAATGATACATATGACGAATATTAACTCTAAAACAAGTTTTAAATCAAAATATTCATTATTAACATAATTATTTACAAAAAAAAAAATTCTATAAATAAATGATAAAATAAAGACTTTTTATTTTAATACAATGAAAATCATAACTTGTACATAAAAAAAATTATAAATATTAAAATTTGAGTTACGAATTTGTGATTATATGTACGAATCAATTAGGTTTAACTTTGAATCAAGTGATCTAAGAGGTAAGATTTATTTACCTTGTTATGCTACTGAATATGTTATTAATTCTCCCATATAAATACAAACACCAACAAGATTATTGCAAATCCTGAAAAACTTCCTATAGTTGAAACTTCAAAGCAAAAGAGACCCGAAGGTGACAGTTAATTTATGCTAAAAAATGGGCAACCTCATCAAGTTCCTTCCAACAGTAACAAATTTCATTTTCCACTTCCTAAACCCTGTTTTCACTAGGCTATGGCAACTGTAACAAAGGTAATAATGGTAAAATTCACTAAGGATGAGAAAAAAACTGCAAAATCGAAAATCAATTCGGATTTATAGTGTTTGATTTAATTTAGATCAATTTTTTAATTAGTTTGCATTAAATTTAGATATTAAAAATATATATTGGGTTCAAATCAGATTTTAATTTGAAATATAAAAAATTTTAAAAAAATCAAACCAAATTATATTTTTTATTAATTTTTATATATTTTTAAAATTTTTATAAAATAAAATAATTATTTTATAGATAAATATATTTAAATATATTAAAATTATATTAAAATAGTATATTAAAAAAATTAAATTTAAAAAATCAATGAACCAAATTAAATCAATAAAATTCAATTCAAATTAGAACGATAGCTTACATTCGAATTTAAATTTAAAAATTTATAATTTTATATATTATTTTAAAAAATTAAATTAAATTAGATAGCAACTTTTAAGGATCTTTGGCCATACATCGAGTCAGTGAACTTGTCGAGCTCTAAGCTTCGATTTGGTGACTTCATTCGTTCATACTTTCTTTTCAAATCGATTGTGTTTGCAGTCTTAGTCCTTGTTGACCCCAACACCGTGGAGTGTTTTTATCCATCTTTAAGCTTTTTATTCAGGTTCCACTTTAATTTCTAATATTTGAATTATTTCATTTACGTTCTAACTTCTGAAAATGATTCCATTTTGGTTTATTTTTCAAATTATTTTGTTAAAATTGATTTAATATGAACATTTCAGTTGAACAAATTTCTCAATTGTTAACAGAATAATATAACAAAAAGATCAAACTAAATATTTTTTAAAAAAATTAAGGATCCAAATGAAACAATTCAGAAGTTATGGATTACAGTTGGAATTGGAATCAATTGTTAGGATCATGGATGAATTTACCTATTAATATTTTATCAGGAAGAAAGAAAATATTGTAATATTAAAATTTTTGTCCTTTTGTTTTTTATTAGATCACATGATTGAACTGAATTATAAGTATTAAACCCGATGATTCGTGTATTTATTATATAAAATATTAATAATTTACATATTTATACGTGATTTTTATTAAAATTTTAAATTATATTATTTTTATATATTTTATATTATCTTATTATTTTGTGTTTAAGAATATAAAATTGAAATGTATTTTGATACCTTAAACAAGAATCATTCAATTCACAATTTAAAAATTTTTAATTGAATATTAGAGAATAAATTTTGATCTAATTTCTAATCTGATTACAGGTTGAACATCTTTCAAATTTAGAATTTTGTTTGAATCTTTACAAAAAGAAAAATAAAAAATAGAAAAGCATTAATCTGCAGCAATTTTTTAGAATTTAACAAACTTGTTGGATTAACAACTTGCACCTGAAATTTGCAATGGCTTTGAAGGCTGGTGTGCTTTTCATTAATTTAATTACCTAGCTTTCTTTAAGAAAATTTCTCATGTTTTTATAAAGTAGTAGTCATAATCGTTAGCGAAATGTTTTATTATATTTACCATTTTAATTAATTGATTCCTTGCTTGTTAGTTGTAAGGTTTTTTTTTTTTTTTTTTAAGATTGACTTTTGAGGTTTGCTTAGCCTTTTGAAACTGTGCTTCATATTTTCCTTCATGTTTGACTCCTGCCTTTGGCTGCAGGTTGTTTACCAACCTAATGACTTTGAGAGCCTTTCACATCACATTTACGGGGTAAATAAATAATTAATTCAATCGATTCGATTTGAAAAAATTAATAATCGATTTAATAAATAATCGAATCGATCGAATATTATTAAATAATCGATCATAATCAAATTGATTAAAATTGATTCAGTTAAATAATCGATTTTTTTTATTATTTTTTTTTATTATGAATAATTATTTAATCACAAATTTAATTCAATAAAATTCAAACTCTAATATCATTCAAATTAAATTAATAAAAAATTTAATAATTTCAACAATATTTTACAAAAAATAAAAAATAAAAATATTTATCTCAATTTTTTTATTTTAATTATTAAAAAATCGATTAATTCAGTCAGTGCGATAATCAATTTTAAAAATTGAAAATCAACCAAATTAACCAATTAATCGATTTAAAAAATCAATTATAACTAAAACCGAATAAATCGAACCGATTTAACCGAATTTACTTGATTTCGATCGATCTAGTAGGTTCAAACCGATTTTTGTTCACCCCTACATCTACATTTTATGATTGAATTTTAAGGGGTTCATTTAGATGAATACTAAAATTAATTTTAGTGAGATTAATTATTATAATTGTGATATTGATTATTGTAACGATAAAATTAAAATTAATGATGAAATATATATTTGAATAACAAAATAATGATAGCGGTAAGATGAAAATAAAAATGATTATTAAGAATTTTGTTCTAAAAATACATTGATAAATTATTTACATATACTTTAATATTTTTATACTATTTATTTATTATATTAAATTAATAAAATTATTTTAAAAGTTTTAAATAAAAAACTAAAATTAAAAAATTAAAAATAATGAAAGATTAAATGATAAGAAAATCTCTACAACTTTAAGTGGTGAAAAGGAAAGAAATAAAAAAATTGTAGGCAAAATTGAGATAAAAGGTGCGGTGGAAATGTACCAATTAAATGGAGCTTTTATCTTCAATGGATAATTGAATGCTATCACACCTCAATGATGTTATCCAAACATTGCATCAGTGCCTTTGGCACAATATTTCATAATAAAACGAAGCTCAATTGGGGTACGGAAGCATCCAAATCACCATTTAATAATAAAATAATATCACGACATGATAAAAAATTTTTTGTTACGTTCTCATATAATTTATATGATACAAATATATGAATAGTCAAATTTAATTTAGATAATCGATTTTTATAATTAAAAAAGGAAAAGAGTGAAAGTTTATTGTAAAATATAAGCTGAATCTATATATATCTTACATTAATTTCTGTGAAATTAAGTGTCAAAGTCAGAAACAGATACTGATATACATGCAATTTAATTATTTGTTCAATACCCAACATTAATAGCAAAGCTATCATAATGACAATGAGAAAATTAATGAGACAGGGAAACAATTTCAGGCATTTATTTTCCAAATGCCTCCAGAACAGCTAGAGTTTGTTACGCGTATAACCTTTGGGGTAGGTTTCTGGTGCCTTTTGATGACATTTTGCTGAGATTTCTCACTTCCTTTCACAATATCAGCCTTAACAATATGGTGATCTGATGTGCCTTTGGATGAAATAACTGAGTATGATCCTCGAACAAAGTTGTATGGTGAAGTTGATGATGCTAAAATGTAATCGACTCGTGTTCCATACTTGCATGTCCCTTGAACATCTGTATTAGCAGGATTCATTGTATATCAGAATCCAAACATCCAAGAAGGAAAAAAAATGGTGGAAAGAATAAATTTATCAGTCATGTACTTTGGCCCTTGGCTATGATTACAACTGGTTCACATTCACCAGCGTAGTCTTTAGCATCTGTGTACTCTTTTCCCCTCAGCAACTTCATTACTTCAGTTCTTGGTCTAGGCTTGCCTATGTCCTCATAGTACTGCACGATTGATATCGGATTGGAAGAGTTGAAACAGGAAATTTAGTGTTTTATAGAGCTCTAGAGTGTTGGAAACTAAGAAATATTACCTTGACTATGTCTGTCCATCTTTCTGATGAGTAATCTGATCCATTCAAAGAGTTCAAACCTCCCAACAATAGGTGGGGAGAGTTGTTTGATTCAGTTATTGCTTTTATCTGCTTCGTTCTCCAATTCTCATCTAAATGGTCAAGTTGGGTGCAATAGAAGTTCACTTCTCCTGCCCAAGGTACATCAATGGTTGCCTTGAGCACATTCCTGAGTTAACACCAAATATTAAGTTAGCAAGAATCATGGCTTTGCAAAACTCAAATGTTCGAGCTTAACTCAGATGGTTCATTGAAGGGTTCAAATGCAAGGGTGCAACCCTTTTGTACAGAAAGAAAAACTCAATTGTTTTCACAAACCAAGTAATGCTCACCTGAAATCATCATCATCCGCTATCTTTTGTACCGTCCATCTCTTGATTGGCCATTTTGACAGGATAGCATTTCCATACTCTGGAGCCCAACTTTCAGCAAAAACATACTTCATCCCCAGAGCTGAAGCTAAATCGGATAAAGGCTTCATGCCTTTTTCTTCCTGTGCCTTCACATCTTGCAGAGCTAAGATATCAGCATCCACCTCTCTGAGCACTTCTGCAATGCTTCGACCACTTTTCAAGCTTCCTTCATTCCAGAAGTTGATCATACTGGAAGGCAAACAAACAGGAGACCTCATAATAACATTGTCTCTATTGATTCTGCTGGTGGTCATGTCTGATGAGCCCTGTGCCAATGAAATCTCATTGTCAGGAAGGTTGATTGAAACCTTCAGTTTTGATCTCGAGAGCTTCTTTTGCTTGGAGAGATTTTCAGGACTACTGTGGGAGTTATGCAAGGGAGATTGCTTTAGTATACTCTTGGGATAACAATTCGGAGACTTGGTGTGAAGGTTGAACTCGAATGGGCTTTTCAATCCCATATAATCCTCCTCTCCATAATTCAATAAGCCAGTTTCCTCAGCTTCTGAAATGGCAGGTGCAAGGGAGAACATGGCAACATTAAATGTGGCAATTCTTATTGGCCTTTTAGGAATAGAAAAACCAAAGTTGCCATACAAATGAATGTTGGAATTCTTGGTGCCATGATCTCCTTTCCTCTGACCTTTTGAGTTCAACCTCCCCAACCTCCTGATGATAACCTTCGGCCTCGGTCGCTTTCTTATCAGCCGCCTTATTCTCGAGCAAAGCTGCCTAAGTTTTCTTCTCAGGATACCCAACATGTAGGATGCTTGATTACTGCAAAAGAACTCCTGAATCTTTCTGGTCTGCATCGGTGGAAGTTTTAGCACCTGCCACTAAATTCACTGGAAACAGAAGTAGTTTCCTCCAGAGCTACCTTCCTGTTAGATAGGATGATGTGATCCGAATCTGAAAATCTATAATTCCTTTCTCTATTTTCATACTATGACAGATTTATCGGGCAAGACAAGGCTACAGGAGAAAATTGGCCGAAAAGACTTAAAAAGTAGGTAAAAAGACAAATGATCCCAACTGCTCCAAGTAGTGTGGCGGGAGTTGAAAATGGCGCTCAGATTGTTGAGCTCCTTTAACAACACGACAAAACTACACTAACTGCTACCAATGAACCCAAGCTTATTTCTTCGTTTTATATTGGACCCACTCTTTACAGGAAACTGGAAAAGTGATCCCAACGTCTTTGAACCGAGCTGCAGCTGTAAATTCTAAGTATTTTCACAAGGATTTGACAGAAAAACAAAGGCTTACCAAGACTTTTTAAGTTTCTGGATCTAAGATTTAACAAACGTAGAGGGGATTATTAGCCTCTCGATTCCTCTTAACTTAACTTGACCTATTACAATAATGTCAATCTCAAAAGAAAGACGCGTACAAGTTTGTCCAGAAGTTACGTGTTACACATGGTCGCGTCTGGTTTAATTTGTTAGCTGTCCACTGAAAATGAACATTGCCATGAGTTTTAATCTTTGGCTTGCGGTCCGAAAACCAACTTTTATCCTACATCCTACGGAAGTTTTGGCTGTCGTTATGTCGTTTTTGAGACTAAAATTTTGATATGGTGGACATCTCCTTTCAAAGGCCATCCATCCAAATCAAGTATTTGTTTATCAAATGCTATGCTACAACACAGAGAGAGAGAGAGTACTAGATGATACATTGGACGTTAAATGACTGCTGGAAGACAATTATTATAAGATACAAAACAATAATTTGATCATTGATATGAGCATTACAATTACAAAAGATGCTAATCAAAGCAAACTAATACAGAATTCAATTATTATCCTCTGTAATTTGAGGCGCACTGGTTCTGAAAGGAAAGTTTTCCTCAATGGATTCTCAGAGTCGGCAATTTCCTGCAATACATGGTTAGGTAGAAGCTGTTTGCCACTTATTAGAACATTTTTCAATAAGGTGGACCATTGAACCAAATTACTTTCAACGTTCAGTGGCAAACTTTGTAGATAAATTCTATCTTTAATTCCTTCAATTACTCATCAGGAAACAATGAAACCAAAAGGTTAGCAGAAGATGCACCATTTTTTCCATTGTCAAGGAATCCATCAGAAGCACTTTCCCTTCTTGATTTTCACTCCTTAATGATACAAACATCTGTTTCCTTGCAGTATTGTCGGCTCACCTGTTTTAAAGGTCTCTCGGCGACAATAAACTTGTTTCCATTGTGAATAATCTCAGAAAAACCAGCCCAAACTGCAGGATAAGAAAATTGACAACACAACTTAAGAGAAATAACAGAATTCTAGTATCCACCTCAAAGTCAAGTGAAACATGTTCATCAGCTTAAACAACATCCAGTTGGACTCCATTTGGCTGCTCAATTTGAGTAAGGACCACAAGTTGCACATCAGCAAAAAAACAAATCTAGACAAAAGCCAAGAAACATTATGAAGGGGTAAACTCTAGTTTAACTGAGGCTTTTTCTTTTTTTGGTACAAAATAGGACGTAATTTGAGACTGATAATAAGGGAAGGGATTGTAGGTGCTGAGATTTGAACTCTAGACCTACTGGATGCCACTTCAACCAACTAAGTTAAGCTCCAGATTTAGTTTAACTTTGGCTTTGCATAACGAATAATAGGAAATAAAAATCAGTACATAAAGGGCACTAACGACCAACCGATTAGAATAAAAGAATCAAGTTCGATAGCTTAGACATATACGATGAATGCATGAATATGCAAGGATCAACTTATACTAGTTACTAGAGAACCAATCCAGTAGGAAAGTGTAAACAACTACGTAAAAAAACTTTTGGATTTTAATGGCTAATGATCTTGAATGGTTTTTCTCGACATTCAAGGCACACATATCAATCTTCCCAACAATACTTAGCAACCTCGTGAGAAGAAACTATGGAAAGATTTCACTTTTCCCATTATCAACTAGACTGGTGATTAAAAAACACTGCAAGGGGATTAAAAAAGCAAAAGCTTCAATTCTAAGAAACTATCTACTCCAAAGGAATATTAGAAACCACAAAAAGGTCACGAAATGAAGCAATTCAACCACCAGGATTCGGTTACACTTAAACACCTAGAAAAAGTCATGCAAAATGGGCACGCTGACAATTACAGACATTTATAAAGTAAGATAAGATAGAGATTGGCAATAACTCCAAAATCATGCAAAACAATAGAAGCAGCAATAGTGACACTCAAACAGTCAGTGTCACCTTCATACTGAGGAATGTAAACAAAGAAATCAAATATCTCACATTCCTTAGCAGAAAACCCCGCTCCCTGTAAAATAATAAAAAAAAACATTAATCAGAAAATTCAGCTAAATTCAGCAAATGGGTTTTATTTTTAATCCATTACCAAGAAGAAAATCAGTGCTTTTCTTGAAGGGATGCTCAGTAATTGGAAAGGCACCGTGTGTGATCTCAACTCCACAAAGAAAAATACAGTAAAAAAATTAAAAAAAAAAAAGATTTTGAGACATGGATTTGTTAGGGAGAGGAAAAAGATGTTTACTTCAAGGAAAAGGCGTGCGTCGGTGAAGGAATGGAACCGGCGGCAAACGGTGATGAGACGTGGAGCCGTGGCTACCTATGGCGTTGAAGTCACGGCAGCCGACTAAGATTACTTCGCTGACTCCAAAGACGGTGGCGGTTATCGCTAGCGTTCCAAACGTTGTGCCTCTTCGCTATGTTGTGGACAACCACGTAGCTCTCAATCGCCATTTTCTCCTTTCTCTTTGATCTGCTAAAACAAGAAGCTTGCTAGCAGTAGAGGGTTTTTCCAGGATTTTTTTTTTCTCCAAAAAATCTTCTACTGGTTTAAGTTTTTGGGCCCAAGGCCCATTTTCTTTCTTATATTTTAATTTTAATTTTAATCTTCTATTTTAAAAAATTATTTATTTTCTTATATGTTTTAATGCATGTCAATATTCAATTATTGATGCAATCAAGTGATATAATGAACATGATAAAAATATTATCATTATTTTATATTTTTTGAGTTCGTCTGCCAATATTTTTTTTATGTATATATAAAATTTACGTATATGTTTATTATATTCTTAATTTTAATAATCAAAATTTTAAATTTGACGAGGTTAATTATTAAAAAAAACTAAACTTATTTATTAGATTCATTATTATAAAATAAAAACCAGAAATGTTCTTACATGAACATGTTGGTTTATGACATAAACTGTGGATTTAGTTCTACAAAATACAAGCCATATCTTATTTTACATGCTATAATTAGAACAGGCCTGCAGAATTTTTGCTGTAATTCTCAAACTCTCAACTCTATCCTGTCAATATGAGGAGCTGATTGTTATTCAGTATTTACACTTTCTACGATCAATGTTCAATGGTACTTTCATTTTAGGCTTGAATATGACAGCATTGTGGTTATTCTATAAATACTTTGAAAGAAATTTTATTCACAAAGCATCTATATAGAGTTGATTGGTGCTCTCAAGATCCTTTCTCAGATGGCAACTTGAGCTGCAGCTAGCCTTGCAATTGGAACCCTGTCAAGCCATTTAGAAAACAAATTTGATGGTATTTAAATTATTGTTTCAGCCGATAATCATGTAATATGTTGGTAGAGTTGATCGATTATTTAAAAAAAAAATTACTGTTTCAAAATATAAGAAGTGTCCAACCTGAATGGAGAACATGAAACATAGTCCAATCCAGCTTGTGCAAAGAATGCAACAGAAGAAGGCTCCCCTCCATGCTCTCCACAAATACCAACCTGTTGGTCATCATTGTGTTATATTTCCCATAAGAAAATGCTTGAACCAGGACCCAAAATATTAGCAAAGGGTGACCTGCAGTAATGTATATATGAATGTTTTGCTTTTGTTTCTTATAAGAAGTGATTTGGACCCTGCAGGATTTCCATGTCCACATCAAGTAATAGGTTGATACTCAAACATAATAGTATGGGTGAAGAAATTCTACCCCTTATTCATGAAATTCTGATAGTGAGTAGTACTAGTAAAATGCAATCACTAGAACCAGAGCTCAGCTCAATTGGTTCATGCAGCCGCCCTTAAAAGGTGGCATCTAGCAGATCTGGGTTTAAATCCCAGCAGCTGTGACCCTTCCCCTATTATCAGGTTGTGGTCTAAAAAATGCAAGCACTTGCCTTCAAACTAGGCCTAGCTCCACGACCCTTTTCGGTGGCAATTTTGATAAGTTGCCCTACACCTTTCTGATCAAGTACCTGGCAAAGCATTTACTAACTGTTAGTAGAGAGCGATTATGAAATCTTCTTTGATTTCGAACTGATATTCTTTCTTCATGGAAGCTTATGAACAACACTCAAAAACTGCCAACTAACCTCAAATGGATCACTTTGAAGAATGCCTTTGGATAGGTATATGGGAAGAAACTTGCCAACATCATCTCGGCTGTACCCAAATGTCATTTGTGTAAGATCATTGGTCCCAAAGGAGAAGAATTCTGCTTCCTTTGCAATCTACCATTATCAAATGTTAAATATTAGGCATAGTTGTCAAGGTTCATGAACATTTCTCAATCTTTTTAAGCACAAAAAAATATCAATCATTTTACAGAGAAATCGCAGGCGAAAATACTGTCAATTTTTGGGTTTGAAGACACGAAAAATGTACAAACCCCACTGTTATGGAGTTCAGGAAAACCATGAGAAGATAGCTTCTTTAGCATACCTCATCAGCAACTAAGGCAGCTCTGGGAATTTCAATCATTGTTCCCACCTTGTAGCTCAAGGAAGAACCCATCTCGGAGAACACTTTCTTTGCAATACTCCGTATTAAACTTACTTGATGGCCAAGTTCCTGTAACTTTATATTGTCAATTCTCTAAAAGATCAATGAAGCTTTGAGTGCTTTATCAATTTTTTATGCAATCAGAATCAATGGGGAAGAATGAATTAAGAACTCATGCCTGAGGTGTTCCAACAAGGGGAACCATTATCTCAGGAAGTACTTTAACTCCTTGGTTGCTCATAGAGACAGCTGCCTGAAAGATTGCTCGTGCTTGCATCTCTGTTAGTTCAGGATATGATATCCCCAGCCTGTTGACAGAAGATCAAAATCCATACAAAAGATGATGAAATGGTTCAGCTGTAATTTTATGATTATCCAAATCCAACCTATGCTCCATTTGGAGCTTTCTTGTGCTTCATTCATTATTTGCAAACGCGCAGATGTAAATCAGAAATCAAATATTTCAGAAGATACCAACATGAAATGAAATTTGTTTCTATAATCAAACTATATTAAGCATAGAATCCATCACTCAAAAGATTTTATTTCACAATGTAATTGCTAAGAAATGGAAAAGAAAAACAAATACCATCAGCTTTAAAGGTTCTTAGAAGGAATATTAACCTGCAGCCGCGGAATCCAAGCATGGGATTCACTTCTGCTAACTTTTCAATTCTTGAGAAAACGTCATCTTCAGTCGTGCCAGTCTCTGAAGTTAATTCACTTACAATCTGTTCTAAGTCACCCTCTGGAAGAAATTCATGAAGTGGAGGGTCCAACAATCGGATTGTTACTGGAAGGCCTGGAATTAAAATGAAATTCACACTCATCAATAGAGATGTAAACCAAAAAGGGGCAATAAGATATTCTACGCAAATATTACACACCAACAAAGCTCCAACCAGGTTGGCATCACACTGTAAAAGAAGCACACATGCTCTAGAAGAAGCAGAAAAGATCATGAAAGTACCATCCATTGCACGGAAAATTCCCTCAAAGTCAGATCTCTGATAAGGGAGTAAGAGGTTAAGAGCTGCTTTCCTCAGTTCTGGTGTTACTGCCATTATCATCTTTCTTACAGCCTTTATCCTCTCATCTGAAGCAAAGAACTGAAAAGGATTCAAAAACATGAAGCCCTTAGAAATATATTAACAGATATGAAGATAAAGGTGTTTGCTTTGCATGCGGACCCGAAAATGCATCTAGGATAGAATTTGATTTGACATCCCAAAATAGTATGTTCTTTCATATTGACTAACAATTCAAGTCAAAATTGGGGGTTGATATGGATACTCCATTATAATCATCAAAAGAGAAAAACTAGTAAATACAGGCTCTTTTCTCAACTGAATATGTAAAGCATGCATACTCTTTTCAATGCATATAATGAACTGATGGCAGTCCTTTGTACTATACAATGAATCATTAATTTTGCATGGAACTTCTATTTATGTTGTGGATGATTAAAAGATTTGCGAAGTCGAGGAGTTAATAATAGACAAAATCACATACAAAGAGAGAAAAGTTACCATGTGTTCTGTCCTACAAAGGCCAATCCCTTGAGCACCATTATTTCTTGCTGTTAGTGCGTCTTCAGGTGTGTCAGCATTTGCCATTACCTATCAACAAAATATAAGGCTGAATCAGTCAAGAGACCTTCCAAATACTTATGTATATATACAAATCCTCGACCAGCTAAAGGGCGTATAGAACCTTGAGGCGCCTAACTTGATCAGCCCAAGACATGAAGGTTTCTAAATCACCACTTAATGCTGGAGGAGAGAGTGGCTGTTTTCCTAGAATCACTTCACCAGTAGAACCATTGAGTGAAAGCCATTCTCCTTCTTCGATCACTATGTCTCCAACAGTAAGAACCTGCATTATATTTAAAGTAACATATACAGGGGATTCTTTCATGCAAAAAGGCAAGTTATAGGAGGTAGAAGAATAAAATTACCTTCTCAGCATCATTCACACGAATATCGGAGCAGCCAGAAACACAACACTTTCCCCATCCGCGTGCTACAACAGCTGCATGAGATGTCATTCCACCCCTAGCTGTCAAAATCCCAGCAGCCGCATGCATACCTCCAACATCCTCTGGACTGGTTTCTGTCCTTACCTTGAACAATGCAAAATCATTAGAGTGTTCAGTTCCTAATCAGATTATATGTCAAAAGGAAGTATAACTGCATAGTACACATATTTTTCACTGATAATGTATCAGAAAATAGAAGATTACAATAGTTTACACATCTGAATGGCGAGGCCCTCTCCACAGGCGGTATTTTTTGTTCAAAATGTTATAAATGGACATGAAAATGAGCATACCAATATGACACTCTTTCCTTTTGCGTGCCATTCTTCAGCATCATCAGCACTGAAAACAATCTGCCCCACTGCTGCTCCAGGAGAAGCAGGTAAGCCCATGGCAACCACTTTGTCTTTGTAAGCAGAAGGGTCCTCAAACTAATTAGACAGAACATAAGACTAGTTATTTTATCATAGTATTTATCAAATAACTAAAACGTACTGAAAATAACATGATAATGATTGGTTAGAGCATATTAAATCCATCTGTTTCCTTTTGTCCTCTGCATCAAAGATTGGTTTTTGTTCCTCCATGGATGGTTGATTAATGCCAACGTTAGGGTAGTTCTATCATTTGTAGACCATGCCTTTGGATCTTTGCTTCAAGTTTTGTTTTCAATAAAAACTACGAAAGCAGATCTTTTCCTCATATTTAGCTGTGGTTATACACCTGTGGATGAAGAAGTTGGTCTAGATGTTGTGGTTCCACCATCTTAATTGCAGCGCGTTTATCAACAAGCCCTTCATGAACCATGTCTACAGCTATCTTTACTGCACCTTGACCAGTACGCTTTCCAGATCGACATTGCAGCATCCACAACCTATTGTCTTGAACTGTGAACTCAATGTCCTGTGTTTAACAAAGGGGGTAAAAACCAAGAATTAATTCTCATATCTGCTCAAACCATAACCTTGGAAAGTATTAAAAACCAACAATATAGGTTACATTTGTACTGCAAATTACAACAAGAATTGAACTAAAATAAAATTGTTAATGTAAAAACTTGAATAATGTCATTTATATTATGCAACTAAAAACTTTTACCATCATATCCTTGTAGTGTCGCTCAAGAATCTCACAGTTCTGAACAAGCTCTTTGTAAGCTTCAGGCATGTAACTTTTCATCGTGTCCAAGTCTTCTGGTGTTCTAATTCCGGCAACTACATCCTCTCCCTTTTCAAAGCAATTCATCAGTTACGTTCATAAATAATTACAGAAGAGCCTTAAAATAATTTTAGCAATATGGAGAGAAAAGAGGGAGTTGTGCAGAGATTGGAACTTTAGCATATGTTCACAACCTGAGCGTTTACTAGGAATTCCCCATACAGCTTCTTTTCACCGGTACTTGGATTTCTAGTGAATAGAACCCCTGTCCCTGAAGTATTCCCCATGTTTCCAAACACCATTGTTTGAATATTTACTGCTGTTCCCTTTAAGCCAGTTATCTGATTGATGCTTCTATACTTAATGGCCCTTGGGCTGTCCCAAGAATCAAAAACTGCCTGAACAGACAACAGCAACTGCTTCTTTGGATCTGCAAAAAAAGATGCATCAAAGCTGATAAGTTTCAAATTTCTCCAGTACATCCCAACCTGGAGGCTTTTATGTGAGAGCCACATTTTTTTCATTTTTTGTTCAAAGAAAGCTGTAGCCTTGGGGACAGGGGAAGAGATTGTAGATGCTGAGATTTTAACCCTAGACCCGTTGGCAATGACTAAATGAACTAACTAAGCTAATGCTCAGGCTCAGGTTCAAAGCCACACTTTGAGTGTATTCAAAATTAAATGAAGGTTAATAGAGTGAGAAAATTGAATAAGTGCAGTTATCAGGCTCGTTTTTGTATTCTTACCTGAAGGAAACTTTTCACCTTTGGCTTCTAAATAAACATTCTTGTACTGTTCCACCAGCTCTTTGAGATCAGATGCTGTTAGATCAGTGTCAAGTTTAGCTCCTTTTGCTTCCTTCATTTTCTCTAACTTCTCCTCAAACAATGAATGTGGAATACCCATTACCTAAAAGATTTTAACAATTTTTACTAGTTCAGCACATTTGGTTGTTTGATGTGTCTCACTGCATTTTTGTTTTTTTGGGGCAAAGTATTTCATTGAGTTCAGTTCATCCAACAAAATTTCGTGAAACACATTGAATAAGAAACTTTGCTGTCTGTGGTTATCTTGAGATAAGCTAATGTAATGCATGAGATCATCTCATGAGGAAGAATCACTTACAACATCTCCAAACATATCTAGGAAACGTCGATAAGAGTCATAAGCAAATCGCTCCCCACTTTTTGCAGCCAAACCAGCAACCACTTCATCATTCAGTCCAAGGTTAAGGACAGTGTCCATCATACCAGGCATCGATATCTAGACATATGGAAGAAATATCAGTAAACAAGCCAGCTTGATTGTCCATACACAATGAGTGAGGTTATTGCCTAGACTTAGAAATAAGGCTTCCATAGCTGCTTATGATAAAACAAATAAAATACGAGAGGCTTCATATAACCAATGGGATCATTGATTAATTTAAGCTTCCCAATCTCTTACCGCAGCACCAGAACGAACAGAAAGGAGGAGTGGCTTGGCGGGGTCACCAAGGCTGGCACCCATGTCCTCTTCCACACTCTTCAAGCCTTCCAGTATCTCCTCCCACAGGCCTTCTGGTAGCTTCTTCGCATTCTGCTGATACTCCTGGCATGCTTCTGTGGATATGGTAAGTCCAGGTGGAACTGATAACCCAATGCTGGACATCTCTGCCAGGTTTGCTCCTTTCCCTCCCAACTACATAAACAACAAAAACACCTTCATTAATCTGTCTAGTAACTTTCTATCTGTTGTAATAACCTGGTTTCTGAAGTGCATTAAAAGGCATTAACAGAAAATATGAGCCATTGCCATTGTAAAAAATATGTTTGAGGTCTACTCCAGCTTAAAACTTTCAATACCATGCCATGCCAGGATTTGCTGCATAATGAAAAGATGAAGAATGCTTACCAGGGACTTCATGCCCTTATGGCCTTCACTCCTTCCTTTGCCAAAAGTAAATACTCTCTGCAGAGAAGTGAAGAATCAATAGTTCTGTCAATGGTGTCACTCTAACTGTAGCTTTACATCACATATAACAAGCAAAGTTGCTGCAATCATGCTTTATTTAAATCCTTCCATGGATTTTTGAGGATTTTTGACCAAATTATTTTATATACAAATTTTTAAAAGGTACTTACTTCACTAGTTCCCGGTAAGTACTATAGATACTCATCAATTCGTCCATTCTATCAAACATACCTAGTATTTCTTTTAGGTATAATACCTAAATAAACCCTCAAACTTTACGCTAAATTGCAAACAAGCCCTCAATCTTTTTATTGCATGAAATTAAGACTATGAACTTTTATTTGATTATAATCAAAACCTTGATGATATAAAATATGCAATTTTTTGTTTAAATTGTTTTAATTGGATGATTTAATTTGTAAAAAATGCCTACTTAGATTCATTTGAATGAGTTAAATAATAAATATTTAAGAAAACACTATTTTAAAAATTCTATCAATCGGACATTATTCATCCAATTTTAAGATTTAATGAGTATAATTACAATAAAATAAAAGTTCATAATCTTGATTTTATGCAACAAAAGATCAAGGGCTTATTTGAAGTTTGAAGTAAAGTTCCAGGATTTATTTGAGTATTAAACCTTTCTTTTATAGAAGTTCTGTATGTAAATGGACAGAATAAAATTAAAAGTTGCAATTCTTCTCTAGCTAAATTTTTTTGGTGAAGAGAAATTTAGGTGAGAGAGACTATTCCATTTCAAAGTCCAAATATATTACAAGACTTAACGATAACTTATATTGAATATACAGATTATCAACCAAAGGAGTTTGTCAGTGGAAATCGAATCCAAACATTACAAATCAAGTATTCTATCATTATCAATTCAACTAATTCCGTTGACAACTTATTAATTAATTTAATTAGTATAATTGTCTTGAAAATTGTAAGATAACCAAAGTACAAATCCAAAAGTACCCCAAAGACTAAAGCTGCTCCATTTTTGTACAAAATAAAGGGCGTATGTTAGTCCAATCCAAGTATCCAACCTAAATCATTGCAGTTTGTTATGGCCCAAACTAAGACGAACAGAGTTCCCCAATTGGGCCACCACTGGATAGACCTCAAGCAGCAGGTTAACCCCAACAACACCATCGCTGAGGTGCATTGTCGGCATTCTAGGGGTCGCGATTAAGTATTGAACACACCATGTAATACTAAGTTAAGCAGTTCCAGAATATTTGGATTAATGCATGATCTTTATTAAAAAAAAAGATAAAATATACAATCAATCACTTAATTTTAGAGATCTTCTTAAAATAATTACTTAAATATTAATTTTTATAATTTAGTTATTTAAATTTAAATAAATATTTTTTTTATCACTCAATAATTAACAATTAACGACGTGCTTACCACAACGATCAGATATTACGTGACATTGCCGTATCATCTAACAAGTCACGTAACATTGTTGATGTGGTAATCCCCTATGGCACTTGAGAACTTACGTGACAGTGCTTCGTTTGCACATCGTTAACCATTGACGATTGAATAATAATAATAAAAAAATTAAATTTAAATGATTAAATTAAAAAAATTAATACTTAACGATTATTTTAAATTAATCTTTAAAGTTGAGTTATTATTTATGTATTTTACCAAAAAAAAAATCGAATCCTTATTTTCTTCCAATTAAAGAAAAAAATGCTTAAACAGTTCCAAATGAGCAATACCTTTTTCATAGTTGGTGTTGGATCAGGTACTGGGGTAAGTACGGCTTGTGCAAGTGTCTCAAGCCTCCTCTGTCTTAAACTCGACATGTTCTTTCCATTGCTATGGAAACAACAACATTCTTGGCTGATGCAACGAGTTGTAATAACTCCAACACGACCACACCTTGGCCCGATCACACCAAAAAACGAACTCTTCTCGTCTCTAACACCATCAAGGCAGTGATATTGATCCAAGATTTTTCCCTTGAACAGCCTCCGCTTGTATGCATCCGGTGGTGTCCTTATCACTATTCCTTTCATTGCTGCTGAGGACATTTTTTCAAGCTTTGAGGCAGAGAAAGAGAGAGAGAGGTGATGATGGAGAAAAGAAAATGGCGGTTGCTGTTTTATTGATTTTTTTTTTTTTAATGTTTTTGGTAATAAGTTTTAAGGAAGAAAATTGAATTAAAAAGAAAAAATATTAAAAAAAAAAAGAGAAAGGGTTTGATGAATGACATGTGTGGATGGGATTTTACGGTTATAGCGCTAAGTCATGGGGCTGACGGAACTTTGAATTGTTTGAATTACCTTAAATGCCCTTGTTGGAAATGGATTCCAATCATTTTTTAACGCGTGGTTTTTCATTGACGTGGCGGTGGGCATTGGTTGGTGATGTTCGTGAGGTGCTCCACTGTTGAATTATTGTCCTGGCTTGCATGCGTTTGCATGTCATTTTCCTTTAAATAGAAATATTTAAATAAACGTTGAAAATTTATCAAAAATTATAAAAAAAAAAGCTCGTTTTTACATTCCATAAAATTAAAGATATGAATTTTATTTTATATTGTAATTGTATTTATTAAATTTAAAAAATAAATGAATAAAGTTGAATTATCAAAATTTTTAAAATAAAATTTCTTCAAATATTTTTTTTATTTAGTTCATCCAAATAAATTTAAATAAACATTTGCTATGAATTATATCATCCAACTAATAAGTTTTTAATAAAAATTAAATATTATATAACATAAAGATTTTAATTATAATAAAAAAAATTTTATATAATCTATATAACCAATAATAGTGTGCTTTGTTTGTAAAATATTAAAATTTTAATTTTAATTATCATAATTTAATCCTTAACTACATTAAATATAAAAAATTAAATATTAATTTCAAAAAAATCTTTATTGGAGAATTTATATATATAATTAATGGGACAATTTCGCCATTATAAAACACAAAGCAGCAAGACATTTCAGGAATGATCCAGTGGCTGCCACGGCTGATGATAATAGAAGAAGAACCATTACTGAAAGGGTTTACCGTGGGACCCATTTTTGTTGTTGTAGTCTTGAGTATGCTTTGACTCAATAGATATTTGCCACGTGGCTCAGCCATGGACACAAGAAGGAAACTTCAATCTTGCTCTCTCCTGCCTTATCCCTTCCAAATATGTATCCCCTCGCCTCTCACTCTCACACACGGAAGACTCTTGGTTGTTATGATCCAATCAAACAACTGCTTTAACACTCAAACCAAGGTCAAGGGGAAGAGCCTTTACATACATTTATCAGTAGGATGTAGTGCAAATGGCTACTGTCATTTAATTAGCCATAAAAAAACCAGTCACATGTTACAGCATCTTCACTGATAAACAATGGTGGATTGTCACAGTGCCCTGGCTACAGAAAAGACTGATTAGCATCCCCCTATTTCTCTTCTAAATGGTGGGGTGGGAATTTCTTTCTTTTTTAATCAGGACAGTTGCAAATGGATGTTACATTTCAAAGACTTGAATGTCATGTGTGCTCTATCTAGTTTCTAAGCTGCAATGAGCAATGGCCCTGAAACGTCCATTTCTGGAGATCAGATGACTAAAATATTACTTCAATGACCAAAGACATACCAGTTCTCGGTTTATATGGTCGCGTAACTACTCTACTAATTAGCTTGCTAAATTTTTTTTTTTAATACCGACCATCAAGCTAAGAATAAATTAAAACAGAGAAAAAGAACGGTTAAAAACAAAGATAACGAGTGTTTTTTACATTTCTATTTCGATGCTTAAGTTAGAAGTCGACTATAAGAGATTGAAAGGAAAGTGAAAAATTAGAAGAAAGTAAGATTAAATAGATAGTATTTAGATAACTTTATTTATAAATGAAAAGTGATAAATCTGACAAAAAAATAATATAATCGAATTTATGTGATTATATATATCAGGTCAATCTAAAAATTGACAATGCTCCTAAATGAAAAGACTAATTTATCCTTTAGAGCCAAAAATTCTCCCAACACTTTCCCTAGTTTGACAGGAAGATGTCTCAATACATCACAAATAGGAGCTAAAGTTCAGTTCTGAAACTCACAATAAAAATTCCAAAGCATTTAGTTGGTGGCATAGTCAAGGTAGCTCCTGATTTATAAATTACCATTTTTGTATTCATAGGCACCATAGGGTAAGAAAAGATTTCTGAGGAGCAACTTGGTGTTTGTGACAAGCTGTACATCTGATCTTTGAAGTTTCTTGCATATAAATCTGCCTGAAAATTTTACTTATGTATCATTAAATCACAACAAATGCATATTAAAGGGGAGAATGATATACAAATTCAAGGAAACCAATAAAGAGCTCCATTCAAGAAAGCACTGAAGGTAAAGCAACAGTGTGAGTAGGTGCATTTCCATTGCTTCTTCACGAACCAGTTCCAATGGTGTATATATCTCAGCCATTATATAACGGGCAGCGGATTCCATTACCAGATAATAGCTTAGCTTTGCAAAACTTTGTATTGATTAGTCACAGCTGAATAACCAAGCCCCCAAAAACTACCTCCATGCCTACCCTTATAAGGTGGTTGCAATATGATAAATTAACCCAAACTGGGTTATAAACATGGAAGGAAAAGTCTTTTTCAGGGCCAACTAAACAAAGCAAACCATTGCATGCATTCATATGAAAAATATCACATGTGGGTATATTTGATTTGGGAGTGAAGTTCAGTTTCAAGACCTGGAAATTCGCACCAATGGCTTTAGGCTAACTGGAGCCTCTTCGAAGCATTTTGAAGTAGCATGGTCTTGATTAAAATGCAAAGGGATGATCTTGAAAGGTGGAGCATTGCAAATTCAGGATCAGAAATGAAATGGAGGAATCTCTTGTGAACGCAACTGCATTGGAAAAGGGTGTTGATGGGAAGCCTTGAAAAAATGCCAAAGATTGTGAGGCACGGGGGTTGAAACAATTTGCAAGGGTTGGCTGTTGGTTGATGTCCTAAGACACCTTGTCTGCTACTGCTGCTTGATGGTTTCATCGCTGCTTTCTGTCTGCCCTTCATTTGTCTTTGCTTTTTCTTTGACTTCAAATGGGTTTAAACTCTATAGCTTAAAAACTTTATGAAGTAGAAAACTTGGTATCGTTTAAATTGAAAAAAAGGTTCCATTTTTGTTTTTTTTTTGTTTCTTTTTCTTTTCTTTTCCTCACAAATTTAATATAAAGGGCTTTGCCTGATAGAGCATCCAATGCAAGATATGCTGAGAGATGTTCTAGTTATCTCTCATTCAGCTTCATTATATAAATGGCATGGCATCACATGGTAGTGCAGGTGAAAGTACTGTGTAACTTATTTGCAACCTTCAATCAATCAATTCCATGGAACACGATCAGAACCTAGGGCAAACAAGGTTCTCTGATTCCGAATGCCTGCAAAAAAAACACAGCCTTATGCAAGATGATCCAGAGGCTAGACACTAAGAACAGCTCTTTGAATAAGCACAATTCTTCAAGCTCTGTTATTCTCTTGACAATGCACACAAAAGATCACATGGGAGTTGATACAAACAACACAAATCATTAATGTCAAACAAGAGCTCCAATAACCAAAACCATCATGTAGTTGAAGAGGCGTTAACAAGAAACCATAACAATTAGTAGTTGACAGTCGACAGTCGACAGTCTGACACTCGTAATTCTTCTCACTGATATTATTTATTTGTTGAGATTGTACATTTCAGCTTGTTTATGCAGAAACAGCTTTTTCCTCACGCTTTCATACAGAAGGAGCTGAGTTAGCAGCAACAAACTTGATTGAAACACTGTTGACACAATGACGTTCATCTGTTGGCACCGAGAACCCCTCCCCTTTAAAAACATGACCCAAGTGTCCCCCGCACGCTGCACATGTAATCTCAGTTCTTCTCCCATCAGGATCAGGCTGCAAAATCATTATTTGCATATTTAGGATCCAATCAAAGGAATAACACTACAATAGTATCAAAAACATACTAAAATGGGGATGAAACAGAATTTGAAACTAACAGTGCGGTTTATGGCTCCGGGGAAACCCTCATGGAAAGCAGGCCAACCACAGCCAGAGTTAAATTTGGTTTTGGACTTGTAAAGTGGTGTCCCACAACCGCCACAATTGTAAACACCTTCACCAAAAAATTTGTCATACTCTCCAGTTCCTCTCATCCTGTACATGATCAATATCAACCTATGAGCAAACCAAACTCCAAAGTACCTGATGCTACACAAATTAAACAGGTTAACACAAGCAAAAACCATAGTTTAATAATCTTCAAGGGAAGACACCAACTTTTTGACCAAAGGAATTTGGAAATTTAATGTTTCAATATTGGCCTGGGGAGGGGGTGAGATTCATGAAAAGGAAGAAGATAATAAACAAGTCAGTCAGAACTTCATAATATGATTGCTGTGAAGCAAACCAGTGTGTCTAGGGTTACATAAAGTGCACAAATGCATATCATGGATGAAGACCTTGCAACCAATTTGAGCTATACTTTGAACAATGACTGCTGGTGATATAATCTCCAAACCATGATTAGGAGACAATGACAAGTATCCTAGTGAGACCAGCATCATGTGCTAGAACAAGAGAACTGGATATTGACTGGTTGGAAGCTCTTTTTCTAATGGCATTGCCTATTGATTTCACATTAATCATCCACCACTGCCATTCAAGTATATCAAATGTTATATGAATCTGATCCCACAGCCACTCTTACGAGATGACATCCACTAAGACTAAGATTCAAATCCCACCACCAGTAATACCTTATCTATAAGCTGCGGTCCCCTTTGTAAAAAAAATTTATATGAATCTGTAATCAACACTCTTCGAGATTAGCCAGAGAACTTCTGGAAAAAAAAAATCTAGATTGTTTTTTTTTTTTTCAATTGAAACCCATCAGCTACCAGCAAGGTAGCTTCTTCACTGTCTTCCCCATCTTCCCCCTTTTCATGTTTTAAGACAACTAATGTGCACAAAAAAGAAAAACTGAAACTACCGTTTCAGGAGAGATTCAAAGATGTTGGATAAGTAATACAAAAATCTAAAGTAATCAACATATGCACAGTCAATCTTGAAATTTTGAGACAAAGTCAACACAACCAACTGACCCAAAAACACAATTTTCCCATCCAATGAATTATTTGAGGGGACAAATCAAAGATACCCAGATTCTGAAACAAGTCACGGATTCTAGAAAACCAAAAAATTTAGAAGAAAAAGAAAGTAATGAAATTGAAGGATGGGATTTGTTCTTACTCCGTTCCTTTCTGGCGCAGAATCCGAAACTGCTCTGGCGACAGAATTGCCCGCCATTCTTCCTCTGTTTTCTGAACAGAAACTGATGATGTGCTCATGTTCAAAGCCGCAGTTATCAAGTCCTAGTCTAACACTACCACTTCACCTTAAAAACCCACAAGTGAATCTGGATTTGTTAGTTGAAACAGGATGTCTTGTTCTTTTTTTAAATTGAACCTGGACGGAAACGGGGAGGATTTAGAGTTGGCATCGGTCGGGTTCTGGATAAGTTTTGCTCGAATTCAATCTGATTTTATGTGTTATTAAATTTAAATTTAATTTTATTTAAATTTTTTTTATTTTTTATATTTAAATTAAATCTCGATTCGATATTATATAAATTATATTCGATTCGATTTGATCAGAATCGAAATTAATAAAATATTATTTTTTAAATATAAATATTTAAAAATATCATTATATAAATATATAAATAAATTAAATAATTATATAAAAAATAATTTTTTATATAATATCGGATCAGATCGAGTTTATCTAAAATTTAAATTCAATTTGATCCCGATTATTTTATAATTTTATCCAATTTAATTCAATTCGAAATTTAAAACTCGAATTTCAAAAAAAAAATTGACTCAATAAAATTGGATCGAGTTAAAATCCGTCCATGATAAATTAAATTACCAACCCTAAGAGGATTTTAGATTTATCAAAGAATTCAAGTAATTCATCAGGCCATTATAATATCCTTTAGAACCCTCACTTTGTCTACAATCGGTGATTTTTGCCTTAATAAAATTTTATTTAATCCATTGTAATTATGGCTTTTTGAATTGTGATTACTCTGTATCACAGATTTAAGTTAAATATTTATTGATTTATTCAAAACTTACTTTAGAAGTATTAGAGTAATATTTTATGAAATTATTCAATTTCTACTAGCTTTGATTCAGAAATCACCAATAAATAAAAGTATAGTGATAAAATTAAAAAATATATATTATAACAAAATTTAATTACTATTAAAATTCAATCTGACAATATTTAATATAATATAATATAAATATGATATGAAAAAAAATATAATTATAATATGATATTAAATTTTAATAATAATTATTTATAAATTTAATAAAATTAAAAATATTTATTTTATATTTTTATATTAATTCAAATTATGATATATAATATTTTATAAAATATAATATAAATACATAAATTTTAATATTTTATATAATATAAATGTACGAATCATTCAACCTAAATATAATTCATAAAAAACATTGCCTTTATTTTTTTCTTTTATTAAACAAAAAAAAAAAACCTGCCTTGGGTCAAACCATTCGCCTAGGCGTATACTCTAAAGGCCCAAATCGAGGGTTTTGGTTGCTGGACCAGCTATACTATAGGAAGAAAAACCAACCGGACCGTTTTATTGTAGGAAAGCTTTTCAAATCTTTAATTCTTTGGTTTCTGTTTCCGGTTTATTGTTTCCCCTTTCTTGTTTTTATTGAAAAAAGAAAACCCTGACATAAGATCAAGGTCACTGAGCTCCAGCATTAACAAAAAAAAAAAAAAACCCTTTTATTGTCTGAAAGCAGCAAATGAAACCCATGCTTTCAAAATTTTAGATATCCCTTCAAGAGCTCAAAAACAAGAACAATAAACTAGGAAGGAAGGAGAAAGAATGTCAGGGTTTGGGAAGCATTCAGGTCCAACAACTGCCCCAAAATCTGCAAACCCGTTTCAGTTTCAACGCCCTCCTCCTACTTCCTCCACTGCCACCATAAGACCCTTCGGGTATTTTGTTTTAAAGTCTGTTTCTTTAATGGCTCTAATTTGATCTTTCAGCGTTCCAAGTTCAAATCTTTAATGGTTTTTTTTGCACTTCTCTAATGGTTTCTTGTCAGTTGAGGGTTTAGGAGAGAAGTTGCATTGAAGGAGGGAACAAAGAATGAAACTTTATGATTTTATTAGGGTTTAAATTGCTAATTGTACTGCAGATTTAGTTTGTTATATACCAACTGGCATGGAGGTGCTTTTTTTTTTTTTTGTATTATTGCGGCTTATGGAAGCTGGAAGTTGCTTTTTTTTTTTTTTTTGTGAATCCAGAATCCTTCCACTGCTTTAATTGCACATTCGGTTACTTTTTTGTTGATTAAAAACTTGTGGATTTTGCTCTGATTATAGGGGAATTGAAGCTGTAGATAGAGTGCGGTCACCAGCTCCAGCTTTTGAGAACTCTAGTCCAGCTGTGAGACCTTATCAGTATGGTGGAGTCCAAAGGTAAGATCCTATGCAAATCTGTAGCGTTGGTTTTTATATATTTTTTTCTTTTTCCAGGCTTATGTTTGTTTGCCTTATTGTTCAAATTGCTTTCTTTCATTAATGGCGATATGGCTCCACTTAGGTAATGAGCAACCTTTGAGGCAGTTTATGTATCAGTTCTATGATCCAAAAATAAGTTTTTTCTATCAAGAATTAATTCAGGAGTTGAAAATTGCATGCATCTTGTATTGTCTAATATATGTTGCAGTTTCTTTTATTATGAAATATCACAATTTATTTGTCTCAGAATGCCGATTTGATTATTCTTATTTTGTTCCAGGCCCGTTGAATCTCCTCCCAGATGGGCTGATGGGCAAATTTCCTTAAAAGATTATAATGCCCAAACTCATCTCGGGCCACCTGCAGTCACGTCATTTGTTGCTTCACGTAATTCTGAGACTAGTGTTACAGCTAAGATTGCTCGATTTCAAGAGCCAAAGAGGGCTAAATCACCTCCATCATTATCTGTAGGTGACACTGTACCAAGATACTCCAGTCAAATGATCCTACAAAGGCACGTTCATGCTATCCTTTCTCAGCTACTTGCATGAGATAGTATCTTCCTTTCCTTAATATTGGATATGGGTTGGTTCAATTTGGTGACATCTTCACTTGGTTTTCCCCTTTTTCATTCCTTCTTCTACAAGAAACTTTTCACGATCCATTATTTGTAGTTGTTGTAATGATTGCTTCTATCTCATTAAGGGTGTCTTTCAAGATGTCCTGGGAAACTGTCATCTATCCACTTTTTAACCCATCTTAAGGCTTTTGGCTTGAATGTGAGTTGACTCTAGTTGAAGTTGACTCTAGTTGAAATTACTATCTTATTGGAAATCCATAGTGATCAATTCTTCATTTATACAATCCCTAGTACTTGGATAAATTGACTCCTTTGACTCTCTTACGCATTTGTGTTCAGTCATGGTCTTGGGATTTTCATTGAACATGATTTTTCTGTATGGTTGAGATTTTTGTGGAGGCACTTTACTTGTAAGGATTATTTTATGTGTGCCCCTACCTGCCGATTCCCCTGAAGTAACAAGTTTTGACAGCTGTTTTTTTTTTTATGCAGGCCTTTGTTTCAGCCCCATATGCAGCACAATCCAGTCAAGTTGCCAACCAACTATCCAAGCTTGCCAACTCATCAGGACCAGTCTGTGGTCTCATATCATGTAGGTCCCCCTGATTACAGGAAAAGCTTTGTGAATGAGGTGTCTGATACACATGCCCCAAAACAAGGCAGATTGCCACCCACACAACCTACTGACGAAGTTACCCTGGAGCATCATCAGTTTGTTCACAATGTCTCTAAAAGGTGAGTATGCAATCTTATCGGATATAAAAATCCTTTTTACCCCATGTTATGTGTTTAACAGGCATGATCCCAAAAAGGTAAACTGTTTCCTTTGTTTTCCTCAATTTTCTTGAACAAGAATGAGGACACTATCTTGATAAAAGTGTTAAAGGTCAAACTAACAGTATTATATAATGAGATTCAGTCAAATTTTTGTTTGGAAATTGAGAGATTATGTGCTTATGCATACAAATTTCTTTATTGCCTTGCCATTCTCATTGAATGTGGCTTTGTGCATTCCTCCTCCTTTTTTCCATCTTATTAATTCTGTTCTTTATTCTTGCAGGCCTTCAGGATCTCCTCCAAGGTTAGGTACCAAGTCAAATATTATTTCTCCTAGCTCTGATGTTCTAATTCATCCGAGATCCTTGCCTTCTTCGCAAGGTGTTGTTTCTCCTGCAGTGAGAAACATTGGGCCTCCAGTTTCTAAAAGAACAAGGTCTCCTCCTTTAATTTACCGTGATGAATTTCTTCAGGAAAACGCCAGTCACATTGAAGATGATACTGAACGGTAAAATTTAATATAGAGTGACAGCATTGATGTTAATGATTGATTATAGTTTTCATTTTATTATTAATTCCAATCTTCCAAATTATTCCAGAGAATTGCAAGCCAAAGCAAAGCGATTAGCTCGTTTCAAGGCTGAATTGAGTGAAAATGTTCAGATGAATCCACCAGATATTTCAGATGAAAGATTGTCTGCAAATAGATTTCAGCACAATGTGGAAGAGAGGAAGAAACTTGTTGGGGAACATTCTGCAGATTCAGATACGGAGTTCTTGAATGACAGTGCTTTATCTGATTTTGAAGGCATGGAAACATCCAGAGTCATCATTGGGTTATGTCCAGATATGTGTCCAGGTATGTGCCTGGACTCCTGAAACCTTGAAGCAAGCTCTTAACAGCAATACTTGAAATGAAACTTTGAGAAAGATATTTAATTAGAATATTGATGGAGAAACTACCATTCTTTGAAACAAAGAAAGTTCTGTTATATATTTCATCTCTCTTAAGCTTCAGTTTTATCTGATTTTCAAGTGTCTTGGAGAAGCAGTTATCCTCTTACATTACATGTAAAAGAGCTGTCTAACTGACAGCAGTTTCTCTGTTAATATGCTCCAAATCTTGCTTAAATTTTCAGAGTCAGAAAGGGCAGAAAGAGAAAGAAAAGGTGATCTTGACCAGTACGAACGCTTGGATGGGGATAGAAATCAAACAAGTGAATACCTTGCTGTTAAGAAGGTAATGTTGAAAGAAACTGCTTTTCTCTGTGATTTGTTTACGATAAAAAAGGATGGATATGCTTACATTTACTATAACAGTATAATAGGACAGCTGAGAGAGAAGCAAGTTTGATACGGCCCATGTCAGTCCTGCAGAAAACAATAGATTATCTACTCAATTTGCTAGATCAGCCGTATGATGACAGGTTTCTTGGAATATATAACTTTCTATGGGATAGGATGAGAGCAATTCGAATGGATCTGAGGATGCAGCACATCTTTGACCAAGAGGCTATCACTATGCTAGAGCAAATGGTATGTCCTTGCAACTGTGGCCCATTATGGTGATTCTTGACTATTTATGCATGTTGAGTAAAAACTAATCCAACAAAATATTATCAGAAAAAGTTCATTTTAGTTCATATAGGTTGATGGACAGTATTCCTGTTTATAATGTTCGTTTGACTTATATTACATATATTATTGATAAAGTGTACGCTATAGTTGTTCCTCTTGGGCCTTTAAATGAGTATTGCCCCTCTGATTGTTCCCCCTATCATCTTTTTATTTTCCTAATTGAAGTTGCAAGCTGCTGCTGTTGCTGGAAAGATTTCAGACACAACATGTGTTGTTGCCATGTAGCATGATACTGTTGCTGCCAAAACTTCTGACCTTTTTATTTCTGTGAATTACATAGCAGTTGTCACCCACTTAAGTTGTTCACACTTATATCTAAAATGAACAAATAAACATAGCCATTTTATTGTCCTGCCTACATTTTTATTCGTCCATGTTTACATCAGTACCTGAAGCATAAGTTGTATTTATTTCTCTTGAAGACAAACATCCAACTCATGCTCTGATTTGTCTCTAAACTAATAGTGATGCTGATCTCTGTGGTTGTCAGATAAGGCTTCACATAATTGCCATGCATGAATTATGTGAATACACCAAAGGGGAGGGCTTCTCTGAGGGATTTGATGCACATCTAAATATTGAACAGATGAACAAAACATCGGTCGAGTTATTCCAAATGTATGATGATCACAGGAAGAAAGGAATTAATATTCCAACAGAAAAGGAGTTTAGAGGTTATTATGCACTTCTCAAACTTGACAAACATCCTGGGTATAAAGTAAGTCAGTACAAATGGCAAATCAATTATTCAAACTTCATCAACTTCTCTTTGAAAATAAGCACTCCCCATTAGGTTGAACCTGCAGAGCTCTCGTTGGACCTTGTTAAGATGACTCCGGAGATAAGACAAACACCAGAAGTGCTATTTGCTCGTGATGTAGCTAGGTTGTTACTTATCATCAACTTTCATTGCCAATGAGGTGCTAAACTTGGTCTAACTATTTAAACTGTTGGCGCTTCCAGGGCTTGCAGAACAGGTAATTTTGTTGCCTTCTTTAGACTTGCAAGGAGGGCAAGTTACCTTCAAGCATGCTTGATGCATGCTCATTTTGCAAAGGTAGGTATGAGGAATTATTCCATCTCCTCTCACCTCTCTCTCACTGTACAACAAAAACTCTCCGATTCTTTGTTTTACTTTCATTCTATACTATATTCCTATTTCTCCCAATTCCTTGATTGCTGCTCGGCATAAAAAGCAGTTTTGGAAGGATCATGGCTATGGTAGCAAATGCCTTTTCTGCAAGCACATGTTTATGCCATATTAGAGTCTGACTAGTGACTATATTCTGCTGTTGATGGAAGACACTGTCACATGTCCCCTCAATTGTAAATTATGACATTTACTTTTAAGTGGTGCATAATGCTTAGTTCTTTTTTCTTTCCAATAATCATTGGGGTGATAAATTGTGGTGCTTTGATCAGTTACGAACCCAGGCCCTTGCTTCTTTACACTCTAGCCTCCAGAACAACCAAGGCCTCCCTGTTACCCATGTTGCCAGGTGGCTTGGGATTGAGGTGATATTTCTTTCCTTAAAATGGAAATTACATTTTGTTTTTCATCTTCATCATAAATTTGTTCTTATCTTATGCTGTTTCTGGTGGTTGGATTTAGGAAGAGGAGATCGAAAGCATTTTAGACTACTATGGCTTTTCAATAAAGGAATTTGAAGAGCCATACATGGTGAAGGAAGGTTCATTTCTTAATGTTGAAAATGACTATCCTACCAAGTGTTCAAGACTGGTTCATCGAAAAAGATCCAGAACAATAGCTGGGGATGTTGCAGTTCCTTGTCAAGCAACTTCCATGCCTGTAGGAGTGACCAAGGCGAGTCAACTGGGTAAAATATATAAGAAAAGTGCAACTGCCTTATCTTCTCCTAGAAGGGCAAGTTCCATTGTAGCAGTTGATGAAGAAATGCCCGAGTCTAAAGTTGTTCCTTCTCCAAAGGATGGTGTGCAACTTCATTCGGTGACTGAGACATCAATAGGTGTGCAACAGCTCCAAGATGGTCATCTCAAGTCCTCCAAACCATTTAATTTCCCTTTGGCTCGTGGTTCCCCTAGGTCAGTGCCAGCTAAAGTTGCGGTTTTGGAGAAAGCAAATAATGATGCTTTTTTCACCATATTGCGAGAGAGAACAATCATCTCTGGCATGGAAAAAATGCCATTGCAAAATATGTCACAAGCATCTCCGCTAGAGAGGTCACCTAGTGGTGTATTTGATCATGCTGTAGAAAACCGCTTACCTCAAAGTATGGCTATTGATAATGTAAAATCTCTGCCTTTGAGATCACCTAGTGGCAAATATGATTATATTACAAAGAACTCAGTACCTCAAACTATGGCTGTGAGTGGCTTAACATCTACGTCAGAGAGACTGAGTGACAAATATGATTATGATATGGAAAATTTGGTGCCTCACGGAATGGCTGTTAACAATTTAGGAGACAAACCTCTGGATTGTCATCAAGAAATTAAGAATCGGGAAATAGCAGTGAATAATCAACATAAGGAAGTTGCCGAAGCAAAACTCAAGTTGATGCTCAGGTCTGTAACATTGTCATTCTGGTTTTGGCTGTGACCTAGTGTTATATATTTCTTATTGGCATCTCTCCTGTCAGGTTGTGGAGCCGACGTGCAGCAAAGAAAAGGGAATTACGTGAACAAAGGCAGTTGGCAGCTGAAGCTGCACTAAGTTCACTGCCACTGGGGATACCAGTTTGGCAGAACAAAGATGTAAGATTTTTTTCTTATTCTACTGTAATTATCAGAATGTGTAAGTAGTTTTAAGTTTTTCTTATTATTAAATGCGTAAGTAATTCTAATTTTCTGTTGCCATTTCTTATTGGAGACATTTACGTTGAACTGTAGCCCCTCTTCCTCCTTAAAAGGATAGTTCCCAGTTTCATTGCTGGTGGCTGTGATATTTATTCATTTAAAGTTCTACTTACATATTTGATATCTCTATGATTGTATGGACACATACTGCATTAGTTGGCAAAAATTTTCTGTTGTTTCATTGTGTTTATTCTTGTTCTTTTATTGTTATTTTATTGATCCTTTGTAGCAATGGAGCACATTTGCTGAGCTTGAATTTGATCATGTCATGAGGGAGAGATGTGAAAAACATGAAAGCTCATGGACAAGGCTGAATGTTTCAGATGTAGTGTCAGGTATATTGGGTAAAAGAAACCCAGATGCTAAATGCCTATGCTGGAAAATTATTTTATGTTCTCCAGAGAGCAAACAAGGAGATCAACTGAAGAAGAAGAGCCAGGTTGCCCATTTAACAGCAGGCACGTGGTTGTTCTCTAAGATCATGCCTTCCACAGAAGATAATAGTGATGTTGATTTAGCAGTCTCATCTCCTGGTTTGTCAATATGGAAGAAATGGGTTCCCAGCCTATCTGGTACTGATCTAACCTGCTGCTTGTCTGTTGTAAAGGATGCAAATTGTGATAATCTGGATGAGGCAGTATCTGGAGCAAGTGCAATTTTGTTCCTTGTATCTTCTAGCATTCCATGGAAGCTCCAAAAGGTCCAACTTCATAATCTTCTGACATCAATTACTCCTGGTTCATGCTTACCCCTTCTGGTCTTAAGTGGTTCTTATCATGTAGAAGGTTCAAATCCTTCCTCAGTTATAATTAACGAATTGGGGCTGCATAACGTTGACAAATCACAAGTAAGCAGCTTTTTGGTCATTTTCCTTGTTGGTAAGCAACATCCGGAACACTCAAACGGGTTTTTCAGTGATGAACAGTTAAGAGAAGGACTAAAGTGGCTGGCCAATGAATCACCTCTACAACCTGTTCTTAGTAGTGTGAAGACACGCGAACTTGTTATGTCCCACTTGAGTCCTTTGTCGAAGGTGTTGGATAAGATGAGTGATTATGAAGTAGATCCAAATCACTGCATCTCAGTCTTCAATGAAGCGTTGGATTGGTCATTGGGAGAAATTTCTGCTGTTGTTAAAGCAAATCCTACCAATTGGCCTTGTCCTGAGATCATGTTGCTGGAAGATTCTAGTGACGAGCTTTTAGCAGTGAAGTTGTTCTTGCCAAGTGTGGGATGGAGCTCAACACCAAAAACTGCACCACTTGAATGTGCATTGAGAGACTGTAGACTTCCTAGTTTTCCTGATGATCTCTCATGGTTGCAAAGAGGTTCCAATATGGGGAAAGATATCGATAACCAAATATTACTACTTGAAAAGTGCTTGATAGGATACCTAACACACTCAAGCAAGATGATGGGAATTCCACTAGCTACAAAAGAGACGTCTGTGATGCTACAGAGAAACACACGGCTCGAATTGCACAGCTTGAGCTATTATCTAGTGCCAAACTGGATCACAATTTTCCAACGGATTTTCAATTGGCGGCTTATGAGTTTGTCAACTGGGGCCTGCTCTTTAGCTTATGTTTTGCAGTGTCATCATGTTGCTCCGAAGTCGGTAGATTCACTCAAGTTACAGCTTAAAGGTGACATTTTACCTTGTTGCTTAAGTCATCCATCTCTAGACGAAATAATTGAAGTCGGCTGTAGTCCCCTCAAGTCTCACAGGATTGGCTTCGATCCAGAACCTTCTCAAGTAGAGACAGCCTTTCACATTGAAATTCAGGATGCTGCTACGCCAAGCATCTCCACGAAAGATAGGGGAGATTCTTCACATAAGCATGGCTTGGATGTTGCAGATGATGTTGCTTGTACAACCAATAAATCAAATAGCAGTCATGGTAAAAGAGTGGTGGCTGGAACAGAAACGGATAGATTAAGCCAGTTGTTGGAGAAATGTAACATAGTACAGAACAGTATAGGTGAGAAGCTATCAATTTACTTCTGATATACGAATTTTTGTAACTTAAACATTCTCGCATTAAAAAAAGGAGGTGGTTTTATAATCGAATCTTCATTCTAATGTTTCTTTTGTATGATGATGAGAAAATAATAAGGCTTTGCACCTATTAGGCAGCATGTTCTCTCTCCTTTTTTCACAAAAGAGGTCGTAGCCTGAAGATTGTGAAAGAAGTTATAAATATTAAGATTTAAATTTTAAATTTGTTGAATATTATCTCTTATAATTACATAAACTTAATTAAGTTTCGGATTCATCTTCTCTCTCTCTTTCCCTTGCTCCCTGTAGAAAACAAGGTGAAGCTACTAACCTTGTTCTCGTCTTAGCGTTAAAAGGTGAGAGTATGGCTTGTACCATAAGTGGCCGTAGTACCGTTCATGGTGAAGTATTTTTCGAGTTATCTGTTAAGCATTTCGTAATTAATCTTCTCTTTTTCTTTCATTCTCACTTGGCCTTTGGTTGGTGGAAGGACGGTTAATCACCAGGGCCATACCTGGCAATTGCCACTTTAGAGTATTTAAGTGTAACTCGCATGGGCAATAGCCAGGGCTGTGAAGGCTCCAGGTACACCAAAGTAAAATATCATTCCCCTCAACACAAAGCCTTCATTGGATTAAAAAACAATAAAAAGAAGCTTTTATACATGGTTAGATCCAACTTTTCTCTTTCACATGCACCATTCAAGCTTTCAACTCAGCAGGAATTAGAAGACCACAACAACTATGGAACATTGGTTATAAAACCTGTTAATTTTATCATTACGTAGCTTCTGTACCATTAAAGTCATTCGAATTGATATTCTCACATTATTTACAGAATCCATCATGGGAAGTTAACATCTGAGGTCTCCTCATGGTAATGCTTTAGAAGGAACAAACAAGGAGAGTTCTTCCTTGAAGTATTTGACATTGAACATATTTCCTAGTCCCCATTCGATCATCCTGTGATCATCTACCCTGAACTTGATAGCGGAATTTCCTTGGAACTTTGAATCTCTTCAAAACGAATTCTTTTCTCTACATGTTTGGATTACCAGCTGCAAGATCACAGCCAGAAGCGCACTTTTCCATGGCAAATATATGGGGTTGTCAACCATGTCATAAGGCCTTGAGATCATTCACCATGAGAATCTTGTATGTGGAAAAACAATTTCCCTTTGCTTCCTTTAGGCTAACCCACATCCTGATACCAGCCAAACAAAAATGTCAGTTTTAACAGAACAAATAATTGAGTTCAAATATTAGATTTGATCATAACATACTTTGAAGACAAGGTGCAAAAAGATGAAGCATTTATCTTTTCTGGACAGATACCAACTACTAGTGGTTATTAAACCAGTCCACCCTGCATACCTACGTGTGTGCACATTAAAATGATTAAGATACACTTCCAAATTTATTCCGCCCACATAACATGTCAACTCACTATTGATTGATGTATCTTATTTTACTTGTAATGACTTGGAATCCAAATATTCTTCCTACATATGGCAGGAAAATTAAAACAGGAAAGCTTAAATCCCTAGTTCTCCTACCTCTCAGGACATTGGTTTCATTTGAAAATTTTTGAAGGGATTATCCATTGAGTCAAGCAACAGAGTTGGTGAGCACCAACTCACCCCATGGCTATATGTATAATAGTAATATATACAAACAGAACAAACAAATGAGACAGGTAGCAAATCAAAGAAACTAGGCATGAGGCCGCTTCTGGCAGATCAACTAATGTGATAGCAGCAGCCAGCAGGGAATGAAGAACAGATGGCTCAAAAATATATAAACATTAGAAAATATTCCAAACCATTGCTTGTGTGACCAACCAATTGCAAAGGCCTCTGATGCATCGGAGATGGAACAACAATAGCTGCACTTCGATTCATTGAAACACTATGTTGGCAAGACTGCTGTGTATCTGACAAATCACTTCTTACTGAACCATAGGTTTCTGACTCAGAGACACTGGACACATCAAGCGCTTCCTTGACTGACCTCATAATCATTGGCCTGTAATCTACTCTGCTGTCTGTGCCAACAGCACCTGCCTGCAAGAACCCAAACATTAGTTAATCACAATGAAATTAATGAAGTGAAATAGGAGAAGAAAACCTATTCTCAAGAGATTACACAGAATATTTACAAATTAATATCACATTTTCAATTATTTATGACCATTAAAAAGTTTCTTTTAGATTAGAACTTTCCTACAATTTTATATTATGTGGGTAAGTACAAGATATATCACCAGCAAGGCACATTAAGCAATTAAATCCAGAAAATTTTCCTTTTCAAAATCATAATAGATTATGACTGGTAGCAGTAATTCAACTAGGATAATTTGACAAGATGCTTCAAATTAACAGCAAAATGGAACTTTCTGCTGAGCAATACTAAAAGATCATACTTCAGTTACTTCTGAGAAAGAATACAGCACCACAAGACAAAATTCAGCCATAAAGCAAAACTTATATTTTTAAATATTGAGAACATGAACAGCCAGAGAAAGATTTAAATATCACATACATTAGACAAGCCCTTAATCTGTACAATGATGATGGTAATATCATCAGTCCGATTTTCATGCTCCAACCATAGTTTGTAGGATTCTCCAGAAATTGCGGCACATGCATCTCTGGGATCTGTGTATGCCGCTGCCTACGTGAAGAAAATTATAAATTTGTTGAGGAAATGCTCAAATTAAGACCCAAATATCTTGCAGTAACCAGCAGGAATGATAGATTGCTACATCTCAGAAAAGCCACTTATACATGAGAATGACTTATATTCATGATAATATCAACAAGTGGAGAGCTCTACTAACAGTTCAAAGAGCAAAAGACATGGGACAATTCTATTGCACTTTTCTCAAGAGTTTACTTATCAAACTTGATAGTATAATACAGGTTTTCAAAGATCATTTTGCAAGAAACATGCATTAAATCTTCTTGTACAAGTTATTTCAGCAGCTGCATGCAAATAAAAAGCAACTATATTTTATATCAACAAACATTGGAATGTCAGCAGATGAAAGATGGATGTACCATAGTATTTAAACAAGTAGGAAACATAAAAGTCATTAATCTATTCCAAGGATTTGCATATATCATACCATGTTGACAACTGTTTGGCTAGGGAGAAACTCGAAAATTCCATCACTTGCAACAACAAAGAATAGATGATTAGGTGTAAGCCGAACAACTGAAATCTCAGGAACAGCAATCACACCAATCTTCTCCGCTGTACTATCTCCTACACTCCTTGTAAATGCAGTCCCAGGATACATCCCATTAGGAACCCACAATCTTGGAGGATCACCACCTTGACTTTCTTCATCACCCCAATTTTGAATACTCGGGTCTTTCAGGCCTTCCACTTGATCAACACTCAAAACCCTGGCCCCACAACACTTCACCCTTTCATATTCATCTTCTCTAAATGGTGTTTGATCATTAGATAAATTCTCTGCCAAAATTCGGTTCCCATCCTTAACAGCAATCACAGCTCTTGAGTCACCCACATTAGCAACATAAAGAGTATCCCCAACAACAAGGACAGTTATCGCTGTGGTACCACTCATAGTATCATCAATTTCACTATTATGTAACTCAGAATTTGTAGCCAAAAATGCAGCAGTATAAGCTTTTAAAGGATCATCCAACAATGTGGGGTCACTAGATAACATTTCTACAAGTCTATCCTTAACAAAGTTTGAACATTGAGCACCGTATTGACCATGTCCATCAAATACACCAAAGAAATGAACATTTGGGTTACCTTGAATTTGTGTTTTGATACAGAAACTATCTTGGTTTTCCCGCTCAACTGTGTCTGGGTAATAACCATGCTGTGTTAAGATTGAGTACTGCAAAGTAAAGTTGTGAGATGGAACAGGAACTAACTCCAATGACCTTTGTGTAAGAATGTGTTTGTTTCTGTAAGGTCTCACTTCTCCATGGCGACCTGAATCACCATCTGATGATGATGGATATCTAGTACAACACTTTCCATGAACACAACCCATGATTTCAAAGCAAAGTTACACAGAAAAAAGAAACATAAAAAAGAGGAAATTTTTTTCCAAAGTGTACCTTAATTGTTTGATAAAAGGCCTTAAAGAAACTAAATTTGAAATGAGTGGAAGCCAGAAAGGAAGCAATTTTAGGTGAAAATGGAGACATGGGTTTTTCTTAAAGCTAACATTTTGGGTATTTTTATAGGAAATTGGTTAGAAAACATGCTTCAAAGACAATAAATTGGATGGAAATGAAAAAAAAAAAAGACAAAAAAAGGAGAAAATAATAGCTAGTCTTTATGGGACAATGCAAATCCAAGAGAGGGGATTTTTTAAGATAAAATGGAAGAAAGGGAAGAGAGAATATAAAATTAAATTAAAAAAAAAAAAAAGAGAAAAAGTGAAACCCTAAATCAAGGTTGGGAAGGAAGCAAACACCTAGAGGATTTAAGGGATTCCTTCTTTAATTCAAGGCAAAAAGATTTGTACTTAACTTTTCTTGAGAGAAAACAAGATTACGTGCTCAAGAAGGAAACGAAAGGAACCAATGAAAGACCCCAAACAAAAATTAAGAAAAACAATTGAAAAATGCAAACCCTAAAACTGAGGGGAAACGTACGTTCGTTTGCTTCAAGTTCTCAACTTTCGAGATCGAGAGAGAGAGACAGACAAAGGGGGAGAAAATCGATGCGTGTGCATGGGTGAGTTTGTCTTTGCCCCGGGAAAAGCAAAACCAAAGGGGCAAAAAAAAAAAAAAGAAAAGCAATGGTAATAAAAAGCTCATTTTCCGAGAAAGAAAACCATTACACGCAACAAGAAAACAGTGAATGTGTGATGGAAAAAAGGTCTGATTTAATGTCTCTTTGTTTTTTTCTTTTAGGCTTTTAATTTTGTTAAGAAATCATTTTCTCTGAGTTGACAATAAAATTGTATGGATTGACATTTGTTTTTCATACGTACAAAATTATATAAATTATTTTATTTTATTTTATTAATTAAATTAAATTATTTAATTTTAAAAATTAATCACTCGAAATTAATTTGATAAATTTAGTTAATTTTTTTTATTAATTGAATAATAGAATATATTAAATTTAATTTTTAATTTTTTATATTTAAAATAAGATAAATAAAATCATTTAAAAAAATATTTAAATATTAAAATATTAAATTAAAACTTTTAATATCTTGAATTAAAATAAGTAGTTTCATAAATTTAGTTATATATAAAATTTATTATATTTTGATTAATTTAGTTTTTGAATTAAATTAATTAAAACTTAAAATTTTTTTAAAATTATTTTCAATAATTGACCAAAATTAATTTGATGACCAATCAATTAATTGAATTAAATTAATTTAATCAATTAATTTAATTAAAATTAGATTATGAATACTTCTAATTCAACTCTTATTTTTTTATATTAAATAAATTTATTTATATCACATTTAATAAAAATATTTTTATAATTTCTTAAAAATTTTGAATTCAAACAACGCGTAAATCAATATAACAATATTAAATTGCAAGATTGATTTGGTTATGAGATGTTAAATGTATAATTAAGCACTTAATAAAGATTTTATTTTTTAAAAGGAAAGTATGATATTTTTCATAACGTCTAGATCTGGAAATCTATCATTTCACATTGATTTGAAGGAGTCATTATTAATTTTTTTATTTAGGTGTAATTGATCTCTTAAGAAATCTATCTTTTAAGTAATACTTAAGTCTAAAGGTCCCTAAAAATAGGTTCAGGTTTACTAATCAGAACATGATTCGAGAGTACGGTTACGTGTGAGAAATGTTACAGACCCTCACAACGCCCATCGAAAGATGATACCTGCTTAATTTTGTGTTATCCAATAAGCCTTAAAAATTTATCAAGTAATTAATTATTAAAAATTATTCTTAATTGACTCTAATACTTTTAGTAAAAAATTGAAAAAATTTCTTCATCTCAAGAGTATGCAATGAGATTACTATTTCACTTGTAGAAGCTTTATCGTCGATTATTTAACATTAAAAAAAATTCAAAAAAATAAAAAGAAAAAAAATTAAAAAAATGATTCAACTTTAGATATAAATCATTTTCTATTCAAAAACTTATTGCTTTTGTATAAGAAAAATTGATACTTTCAACTTTTCTTCAAAATGTTTTTCTGAAACTTTAATTTTGAGGAAAATTGATACTTTCAACTTTTCCTCAAAAAATTTTTTTAGAAAATTATTTTAAAAAAAATTGATATTTTCAACTTTTACTCAAAAATATTTTTTAAAAACTTATTTTCAAAAAAAATTGATACTTTCAACTTTTCCTCAAAAATATTTTTTAGAAAAAACTTATTTTAAAGGAAAATTAATATTTTCAACTTTTCCTCAAAAATATTCTTTTGGAATTTTATTTAAAGAAAATCATTTTTTAAAAATAAAATAAAATAAAAAATACTAAATAATTCTAATCTAATCAATAAATAATAATAATAATGATAATAATAAATATATATAAACATAAAAAAAAATATTTTGAACAGCTCGGCTTGGCTGGGAAACGGCTTGGTTCAAGATAGAAAAGGCGGCTTGAAGACTCGGCTCGGGGACGTTGGCTAGGCTCAGCTCGGCTCCAGGGATCGGCTAGCACTCGGGTCACACGCCGGTCAAACGCGGGTTGGTGCTCGAGTAGGGTCGCCCAATTTCAAAACGCGCGGATCCTCTGAGAATAGTAACGCCAAAACAACGTCATTTTTTCAATAAGTATAAAAGGCTCTAACCTCTATTTTTCAGCAAACCGCTTCTTTCCCTCTTTCTCTCTCATTCTCTCTCTAAACAATCCCAGATTTTGGTTGAATTTCTATTGGAATTTGGAAAAAGTCGGCTGAATCTTCAAATCTTGCCAAAAACTCATCGAAAAATTCAAAGTTCACCGAAAAATTTCGTCAGATTCTGAAAAATTGTCAAAAATTTTTCAAAAAAAAACACCAAAAATTCAAAAAAAATTCTCACCAATTCCTAAAGCTGTTGTAACGCACCAGAACCTTTTTTTAGCTTTTGTTTTCTTTTTGTGTGTGTCATTTCTGTGTTTGTTCCAGCACTTATTTATAGGGATTGATCAGAAGAGTTTCTGATCAATCCCAATTTCCTCTGGGATTTGATTCAATCTTTGAATCAAATCCCAACTCTGTCAGCCTCAGATTCACTCCAGAATTTTAATTTTTTTGATCCTAATCCCAATCGGGGATCAATCAAGAGAAAATAAAATAAAATAAAATAAAATAAAAAATATATATTAATAGATAAATAATATATATTAACAGATAAATAATAAAATATATTAATAGATAAATAATAATAATAAAATAAAAAATTATATATTAATAAATAATAATAGTAATAATAAATAAAATAAATAAAAATAAAATTACAAATGAGCTTATCCATTTGGATCAAGTGCAATTAATCCGAACTTGAACCAAATTGAGTGTCTATAATATTAATTATTACTATAGTTTTAATGATGGATAGATAAAGTAGCATTCAATAATTCTTATGTATTATTAATTGTGCATTAAATATAATTTTTTATAAGTAGTTATTTAAAATTTTTATTCTCATAAAATTAAAAAAAAGAAAAGAAAATGTTAGTTAGCTATTAGGGATACTGGTTAATGATATTTAAAGAAAATTTTATAATTATGTAATTTTTTTATTGAATTTGATAAAAATATTGTTAAATGAAATTTTTTTTAAATAGTTTTTTTTTTTTAAGCAATGCTTACAATTACCTGTTAACCAAATTTTATAACAATAACAATTCCATTTTAGGTTTTGCTAACAAATATCCTTAAAACACTCTTTAAAATTAACTAATAAATTATTTATAGTAGGAGAAATAATTCTGTATTAAATATAGTAATTAGCAATTTTATTGATGATTTTCAATATATTAGTCATTGAAGGAAAATATATATATATATATTTTACATAATGAAGATATTACTTTAAATAATAATTTTAAAAGTACTTTAATTGCATTTGTCCACAAAATTTTTTATTTTTTAAAAAATAATAGGTGAAAGATATATTGTTAATGTATAGATCTTATAAATGTATAAAACTTATATAAAGTTTTTTAAATGAAATTTATGCAATGCCTTATTAATATTGATTTAATAAAAATTTTAATAAAAATTTTTTGCTTCTTAATATTGATTTAATAAGAAAAATTTTTGATAGAATTTAATGTGAAAATCAATAATATGTAAACATGTTTATTAAAAATATTGTTTATAATTTAAATTTGATCAATATTTATTTAATGATAAAATTTTATCAACACTTTTACTAAAAATATTTACCTAAAAAGATATCAAATTTTATTTAAATCTTTTAAAATTTTACACGCTTGATTTATATAATATGACATTTTAATATATAGGTTTTTTATATTCAATTTTAGTTTTTATTTAATCGATTTTATTAAGAAATTTCATGAGTTTTACTTAAAGAATTTCAAGTAAGTTTTTTTTTTGTATACAATGTTAGTGAATCAGATAATGACATTTAATTAATGAGCAAATATTAGTTATTAAAATTATATAAAAATTAATAATTTTTAAAAAATCATATTCATTCATGAGTTATCATCATCTTATTCACCTCATTAATGGAATGACATCATTTAATTAACTGATAATGTATAAATCATGTACATTATCAATATATTAAATATAAAACCCTTATATAATCCATGAAAAATAAAAATATATGTCAAAACCCTTTTCACTAATGAATTTACTCTTGCAACAATTCAAATTATGGTTTACATAACATACATATTCTCTTCATAAGAAAAAACATAATTTTATATAACTTTCTATTTCAATTTGGTTTTACCCATTTTGGCACATGTAAAATGATTAATTTTTAAATATATATTTTAAAATTATTAAACTCTAATAAAAAACCAAAAAAAAATCAATGAGAAATGCAAAAGGAATAAACTAGCCTCCCCATTCCTTTATCACAACAAGTATATATTAATATACTTCATACATCCCATTTTTTTTTTCTCTTTTTGACCTTCTAATACTTTTTATATTCCATATTTTTTCCACAATTATTATTATTATTATTATTATTATTATTTATTTTCCAAGTGATATAAGAAAAAAAGATCAATAGGGCAGGGGAGCAATCTCTCACTTTCAAAGATCATTATTTGATGCATTAGGTGAGGTTGGTTGTATCTTTTAGTTTGTCCTTATGATCCTGTCTTGTAGTATGAGAATATAAAAGACACCTCCAATAGGAAGCAAAAGTGAGCTGATGGATCATAGATAGAGACTTGGGGAGGGAAACAAGGCCAAAAGCATTACGGATTGGGTAACCATTTTCTTCATGATAAGAGCAATGGAGGGCCAAAAGGATTATTGAACATGACCTTTCGACCCCACCAATATTCTAGATTTTAATACCTTTTCACTTAACGTTTATTGCAATATCTCCTTCCCATTGAACATCGAAGTTTAATTCATGGATTCATCTTTAATTTTAAAATATGATATCTAATAAATTTAAAATTATAATTTTTTTATAAAATATATATATACACACACTAAACAACACCTTACAATTTATAAAGGTATAAAACTACATTACAAGTATGGATGTGGATGGATAAAATATGAGTAAGGTAAAATATTTTTTATCTTTATTTTTAAATTTTTTTATTATATATATTCACGTACCCATATTTAATAAATATTTTAAATTTATCTCCATTTCCATTCCTATGAATATTTAATAGATTTGGATAATTTTCATACCCATAGCTTAAAAAAAACTAAAATTTATTTTTTAACTTTTTTTAT